CCTGTTATATATCTTAGTGTCATCAGAAAAAAGACATACCTTACCATAAAGACTGTAATATCACTAATAAAAATATTAAAGAGAATGGGTCCAAGTACAGATCCCTGAGGTACCCCACTGGTGACAAGACCATGCTTTAAATATACTCCATTGACTACAACCCTCTATTGCCTGTCACTCAGCCACTGCCTTATCCATTCAACAATATTGGAATCCAAACGTAAAGATTGCAGTTTATTGATAAGCCTTCTATGTGCAACAGTGTCAAAAGCCTTACTGAAATCTAGGTAAGTAATGTCTACTGATCTATTATTTTAGTAACCCAATCAAAAAAATCAACAAGATTAGTTTGGCATGATCTCCCTGATGTAAACCCATGTTGTCACTTATCTTGAAATCCCTGTGAACTTAGATGTTCAACAATCCTATCCTTTAACAGGGTTTCAATTACTTTCCCCACTACTGAAGTAAGGCTTACTGGCCTATACTTGCCTGACTCCTCCTTACTACCTTTCTTGTGAATGGGCACAACATTCACTAACTTCCAATCTTCTGGGACTACTCCTGTTAGCAATGATTGGTTAAATAAATCTGTTAATGGTTTTGCTAGTACACCACTAAGCTCTTTTAATAACTTTGGGTGTATTCCATCAGGCAACACTGACTTATTTGTCTTTACTTTTGACCGTTGAAATAGAACCTCTTCCTCTGTAACAAATGACTAGTTTGTCCTTTTTCCTAACTGAGGCCCCTTTCTTTCATTTTCATCTGTAAATACTGAACAAAATTATTAATTGAGGCGGGGGTGCGTGATGACGTAAGCACGCGTACGCGTGAGGGGAGGAGGTGGAGCTCTGGAGGTGGTGAAGCCGAGTTCCAGGCGTGCTGGGTGAGCCGAGTTGGGGACGAGTTTAAGGCACGGTGCAGAGCCTTACGCTAGGCGCAGTGAGACGAAGTGTGAGACGAATTGTGTGGAGACCTGTAGCAGAAAAGCTACATTACTAGATTCAGCTATCCCGTTTTTTCCCGCTTTATTATTTGGGTTGTCTCGGAATTGCAGGTGGCCCCAGGTGTTAACCGCGCCAAAAGCTGAGGGCGGCATTGGGGCGGCGACTGCTATTACACGAGCAAGATTCAAAATTGGTGTTGCTGACAGGAGAGAAGATACCTAGGAGATTGTAAGCAGACTGCAAACTGAACCGAACTGAAGCAGACTGCAAGCCCTTAAATTAAAAGGGAATCGGATAATTCCAAAACCTATTTGAAGAGCTACTCCAGGTACGAAATTTAACATTTATGGAGTGAAGAGAAGTGTGTGAAAGCATTAAGAAAATAAGTAATAGAGGAAAGGAAGTGCTTGGGAGGTGTGCCTGGCACCGGAATGTAGTGTATGGAGAACTTACGATACCATCGCCTATAACTGTGTGGAGAACTATATACAATAACAGCAGTAGCGTGTTTGCCTTTGCAGAGTCACTCACAAGCGGAAAACATCCTTGTCATTCTATCTATGTCAGCTGGCGCGTGTACTCTAGTTTGCGTCGGTTGAGCCTTTCATCCCTACAGACATGTCGTGATAGATGTATGGGAGTCCTGAGGGTCACTCAAGCCTTATGTTTGTCAGACCTCCTCGCCCCTCCTTTAAAGGACCACTATAGTGCCAGGAAAACATACTCGTTTTCCTGGCACTATAGTGCCCTGAGGGTGCCCCCACCCTCAGGGACCCCCTCCCGCCCGGCTCTGGAAAGGGGTTAAAACTTACCTTTTTCCAGCGCTGGGCGGAGAGCTCTCTGCCTCTGATCCTCCTCTGATCCTCCTTAAGGGCTGAATGCGCACGCGCGGCAAGAGCTGCACACGCATTCAGCCGGTCACATAGGAAAGCATTGAAAATCACAGTGAGAAGCACGCAAGCGCCTCTAGTGGCTGTCAATGAGACAGCCACTAGAGGATTAGGGGGAAGGCTTAACCCATTGATAAACAAAAAAAATGGGTTAACCCTAGAAGGACCTGGCACCCAGACCACTTCATTAAGCTGAAGTGGTCTGGGTGCCTAGAGTGGTCCTTTAAGTCAAACAATAAAGTCTTGTTTCCCCCTGAGCATGCCCTCCCCCCCCCACCCCATCTCTCCACAGATCAGAATTGGTCCTTTAAGTCAAACAATAAAGTCTTGTTTCCCCCTGAGCATGCCCTCCCCTCCCTCCCCCCCCCCCCTGATTTTTTTTTTTTTATATTTTGTGGGTTCCCAGCCCACCCCAGAGGAGGGACTGATCGGGAAACACAGGCAGATAATACCATGGGCGTTGTTTTAAAGTTCCTCCTGGGACCTTTGGACGAACAGGCCCTGTTAAGTGGCTTGGAACATATTAATTTGTCTTCTTTTGCCCCATGCAGATATATACTCATAAAGCTTACATATTTCCTCGTCACATTCCACTTAAACTCGTGGTTGACATACAAACCTTTACCTTTACGTTTTTTTTTCTTCTATCCTTCCTAAAAAAACCAAAAACAAAACATTTAACCATTTAAGATAACTTCCCAGTTATGTGTCTCATCCCACTGTATCCATGATGCCTATTACATCATATTGCTTAGTGTAAACTATTGCCTCTAGTTCCCCCATTTTGTTACTTATGCTCCTTGCATTAGTAAGCATACATTTATTATCATGAGTCTCCAACTTTATGTGAATTTTTATTACAGTTACAGCCATCCCCCATTTCCACCCACTTCTGCTGAGCTTTAAAAAAAAAAAAAAAAAATGTAAAATAAGAAAATAACTTTCGGTGCCCACATGCTTACAAAGACATAGGAAGGAGAAAAAAATACTCCACGAAAGGATTGGAGCTGATCGATGCATCTGCTAGTACAAGGAATATGCAGATTGTAAATGGGCGCACAACCTGGCAACAAAGTAGAAATGTGTTAAGGGAAGAGCTTGGAGAAATTTGTAATACATTTGAGACTCCTGAGTAGTGGTGTTTTGTTTTTTGGGGGGGTAGGCAGCTAATAAGCAGCATTTATACTTTGTTGTTTTACCAAAGAGCTCTTCCTGTTGCTGGCTATACAATATGTTTTTACTATGCAATTGGTCTAGGACATGCATTTTTCATTGTCTTTTTCTGCTTTAATTTGACTATGAAAGTACCAGATTTAAGAATCACTTTTTTTCCCACACACATCTAAATCTATACATACAACAAATAAATAATGGGGTTAAAACTCCTTCAGTGACTTACCTGAGACCAGCGCCGATGTCCCTCGGCACTGGTTTAGGGTCCGCCCATGCTCCACCCCCGCCGACGTCATCCGGTGGGGGAGACCGATTGCGCATGTGAGGCAGTCAGCGGGGGAGACCTAATTCACTTGAGCACATGCATAAGACCAAATGCTTTCCTATGGGGATTTTAGCGACGCTGTGCTATATACCAGGAAGTGCCCTCTAGTGGCTTCCTTGTAGACAGAGGAGGAGTTAACCCTGCAATGTAAATATTGCAGTTTATGAAAATGTCTATATTTACAGTTGCAGGGTTAAGGGTAGTGGGAGTTGGCATCCAGACCACTCCAATGGGCAGAAGTGGTCTGGGTGCCTGGAGTGTCCCTTTAACAAGACTGACTGTGCCTGGATGTGGCCCTTTAACAGTCATGTGAAAAATAATACCTTCAAACTAAACTTGCCCAAGTTTAGTAATTCTGCCAGCTACATGTGCTCCTTGGCATACTCAGGTTTACATTTGTTTCGTTATCTTTGACTTCTGGTTTTACCTTCAGACCTTCACATCCATGTCACAATTATCTCAGCTTTCGGATTTCTAGTTCAAGCTTGGGGCTGAACCTTGTAGAGTCACCTCCCAGTCTCAATCACAAACTTTACAAATGTCCACATTCTGGATTACAATCCTGCTTGGACCGGAATCATGATTTTTACATTGAAGAAACTATTTGGTGGTGTCCATATTCAGACGTTCCGGAAGATTACACTTTCACTATGAATAAGTTACCCCAGTTATAGAGATCCTCATCTTATCTGGAGCCAAAGAATATGGCCTCAATTTAATAACTTTGGCTAAAGGATTGTAAAAGAACAGATTTCTAATCAAAAAATCATAAATGTACCAATAAAAATGCATACCTAAAAGAAAACATTAATGCAATATTGTAGGCATAGGCAATGTCTAAATTAATTAAAGATACAGTAAGCACCATAACCACCAATATCTGGGGCCATCCCCCTAACTTTGTTAAAGAGATTCTATAGTCACCTAGACCACTTCAGCTCATCAAAGTGGTCTGGAGGCAGTGTTCCTGTCCCACTTTGTCATGCAATGTAAATCATTGCAGTTTTAGAGAAACTGCAATAGTTACATTACAGTGCCAAGCCAGACCCTATAGGCACTTCTTGGATCCCAAAAGGACTCCAGACATCTTCACGCTCTGCATGAAGACTTTCAGAGTCAGTAAATTCCCATAAGAAAACATTGAGGCAATACTTTCCTATAAGGGAGGGCCTAATGCGCTCTCTGTGCATTAGCGCCACCCCATCGGATGACATCAGAAGAGAGAGCGCCAATCCAGTGCCAGAATCAGATGAGTAGCCTTTGTTTTTGGTTTTTTTTTAACCCTTGACATGCTCTTTCCTTACACTATAACCCCTTTTAACAATTTGAGCAGTTCGCCAAAACATAGGACTTTATGTTCAAGCCAGTCTTAAATTGCACGGCAAGGACAGGCTATGACCACCAGGTTAAGCCATCTCCACTACTAGCCAATCATTACTGCCCTAGGTTGGGAGAGTTTGTACAAATAATGCAGAAAAATTCTGCACTGCATTATTTGACAGGCAGCAAATCGGCTGGGCTTTAGAGGGTGAAAAACTCCTGGTTTGTGCCAAACTATTTGAAAAAGCTGTAGTGTAGTGTGCCATTATATAAAGTTGTCCATAAAGTATTTTAAATGATATAGTTTGCATCTTCTTTTACCAACAAATTTATAGCTCCGAATACATTGAAGCAGAACTTTATTGCTTTTGCATAGTTGTAATCATAAAGGTTTAAAATGATTAAAGGAAATGAGACTGACAAGTCACAACTTACATTAGATTCATAGTAACCCAAACGCATGGGGCATGGAGGGCAATATGTACAAGCTTGAGAAGCCCATCTTGCCAAAAATGAAAATATTGTGATGAATTGAGATGCAGCTCTGTGCCTTGCAATTACTTGTCACGTCGCTTGGGGGTAAATGGCCATGTACCCAATTTTAAAATATGGCAAAAGAAACAAAAAGGTTATATTAAGCTTTGTTTAATGTAAGAACTGGATTTCTACCATTAAAGAAACATGCTAATAACCTCTCTAACACAGCTACAGTTTACAAAATACTTCACAGAGCAAATGCATAAAAGTCTTATTTATCTGTAACTGAATAGATGTATGGTATCTAGCACTGCAAGTGTTAAGGCAGGAATCTAAACATGTGCTGATTCAGATTGCTTGTTTTTGCCTGATTGTAAATCAGTGATTAGACAATCAACACTTCCAAAGAGGCACTGAAAGAGCAGAAAATGAAACAATCTGTAAGTATGAGTAAGTATGCTGTGTAAAATACTTCATAATCTTACTGTAAAGAAAAGCTAGTACAAATGTGAATGTTTCTCCTATATTTTAGAGCAAGTTTGAGTATTGCAGGTATAACCAACACGGACCTTGCCAGGTACTGAGCTACATTTTTCAAAATATCCTAGAAATGAGCAATAAGTAATTTGCTGCTGGCTGTACATAAACAGCTGGCAAGAGATTTCATGACAAACAGAACTAAAACTGTTAAGCTATTACTACTTGGTGGGAGACTGAATTTATAAGCACAAAAAATAATTCTATTTCCTAGTACTTCCTGAGTATGCTGTTGCTGCGAAGTACAGCACAAACTAACAGTGCAAAGGAAAATTGAATCAAGGAGTCTGCAAAAATCAGAACACTTTACACAACATGCTCTTCTCTTATAGGAGAAAATATATTTCCTTAACGTTTGGCAATCAAACAGTAAAACAGTTTGAATTTGTACAAGGGGCACTTTCAACATTAAAAGCAGTTAGGTGGAATATAATCGACTCATTTAAATCAAACAAAATGTAGGTAAAGTTATTACCCATCTTGGGAGAACGAAAAGCAAAAAAAAAAAAAAAAAAGGGCATCAGTAGTTTAGGTATGCAGAAAATATTTGTCTTATATGCTATTGACACAAATATACAGGTTTTATTTGTTGGGCATAAGAATCACAAATTAGGAAAGACATGGTAACGGTTTAATCAAAGTGGGTAAATTAAAATGGGGTAGCGGGAATAAGGAAGGGAGAGAAAAAAAAAATATTCTCACAAGAATAGCTTCACGTTACAGTACACAAATATTAACCAGCATTTTTTTTTTCAATTGCCTAATTTTTGGTACAGAAGATGGAATATTTCTCAAACTAATAGAGATTGTTTTTGTTTTTTTATTCCAAAACAAACGCTATTAGTTCAGATGTAATAATAAAAAAACAAAACAAAAAACCCTCAGACACAGCATACTTCTAAATATCGGTAGTGCTACCCAGACACAAATCTGAATTAAGAACCTGGTAAAAGCTTCATTAAAAGGAAGCTCTGCAACAGTAGAATTGTGCAATATGAAGAATGATTTCTACAATATGGGAAAATACACATGGCACATTCTCATTCAGATTTTTGTAATGTAAAAAGTTACAAACATACCTAATCAAATAAATAATAAAAAAATGAGTTGTGTGCGTGTGTGTTTTGTATCCTAAAATTCACTACAAGGAAAATGGCAAATGTCACACACATATTTACATTGCAATACCCAAACTGGGTACTCTGCTACAAAACTCATAAAATACATGGGGAGTAAACATGAAATTTTGTTACTCGGAAATTTCTGTAATTAGTTCTAGCAGCTTGACTATCTAATGCTGTTTCCATTTTTGTGACTGCTAAACCATCTGCAAAGTTCAGTCTGTATCTTCATCCAGTTCATAACAATTTTTTTCATAAATATCCTTTATCAGTAGAACCCGTATAAGCATGTTTTCCATGGTGTTGCGATCCAATGAAGAGGAGGTGTACCACACAAGAGATTCAGTTGAAGCAGAGCTTTCTGGTTTCAGATAGAAAAGATCCATTCTTTGCTTGAGATTCTGAGGACTTCGAGAAGAAAATAAAATGTTATTGATTCCATGTCAGAGTCTCAACATGATGTATAAGCTTGCCACACATTCACTGAAGAAATAAGACAGCACTTTACATAAGAAAATATTTAGCAAAGCACAATTTCCAATACACTAAAATAAAATGTATCTAAAAGGGTGTCATAATTCACCAACTTATTATGTGAAGGCTCTATATTTGGCTCCAAAGTGTGTGGCCAATGTTGTACTGTTCCTATTGTATTTGAATTGACTGAAGATTTGAGGAGATCTTCGGGATACTCCATTGCTATAAGGGAAGTTGGGTATCAAATTATATGCACCTTTTTCCACTAAATCACTTTATCTTGTGAAGTGGTGAAAGTGCCATCTAGTACATGCACTTTTTTCACCTACGCACTTACCTTGTGAAAGTCCCTATTTTGTTGTATAATTCTCAAATTGCTTGGCTCACTGAATGCATACATTTCAAGTTTGAGAGACTGACATATCTTTTATAAATTCCTATTTCCATTTTCTTGAAATTAATGAGAACAACTCACTCCCATTCACATTTTCCCTGCAATCAATGTTTTTCTAACTTAAAAGGAAATAGCAGGCTAGGAGCACTGTGTTGGTTGTGCCAACCCTTGAACATTCTGAGCAAGTATATCAATCGAGAGAATCCAGATGCCTCTGGGACCCCTTTTTTAAAAAAAAAAAAAAACACACCACCACCATCCCAATAAAAAAAATTAAACTAGTATTTGTAAAATAATTTGCTTCTTATTGTTACCTTTTGGATAAATAGTACTCAAATATTTTCACAGGGCATCGTGATGGATCAGCTGTGTTTTCAATCTGTTCAAATACTGGCTCATCATCCTCGTGTTTTCTTTTACAGGAGGCAATTTTATCTTTAAGGCACAAAATATAATGTTGTATTATGGGTCAAGGAAAATCAAAAGTCCCAAAAAAGACAGTGACTGGCAGCAAATGAGTAGAAACAAACATACCTGTGCTGTCATTCTCACAGAGCGATGAAACTTGGTATTGAAGGCAAGCTTTGTTTTCTTTAGTTAGAGGGTTATTTTTCAAATGTCTCAAAACAGAACCAAATGAAAGTCTCAAATGCTGTTCTACAGTCTTCAGGTTGAAATACTTTGTATTGAAATAAAACAGGGTAAAAATGAGGGACATGGGTGACTGAGTTCCCAGTTGATTTACTTGCCACATATAATCTTCCTCAACCCGTGAGAATATGGACCCTAAAAGACCATAAACACATTGTTACCAATCAAATGAGCATAAATGACACAATACAATTATTAGGAAGACAAATAAAAAAAACTCATTTAACTATACCAGTTGCCACTACAACAGAGTCAGAAAATTTATAACCCCACAGATGTTTTGTGTGCTAAATCATTTATTTAAAAAAAATAAGCAAGACATATCAATATTTCCAAATTCTAACGGTACAGTGACTAGTACTACAACTGCATGAGTCAATGGTATTTGTTCAATTCAAAACTGTATCGTGACCACCATGCTAGAAATGACACTATAGGCACCAAAACCACAGCAGCTTAATGTTTCTGGGGCAAATAGACTGTCCTTGCAGTCTCGCAGTGTAAATGCGGTCTATTCTGAGAAAAGGCAGTGTTTAGATTGCTGTATAATACCACTCAAAGATTGCAGGACTAATGTTTTGTGCTGAACGCACGCCATAGAGATACACTGAATTTAGAATCTTCCCAATGTTTACCTAGGGGGAGGAGTGGCAGTGGATATAAGGCAAGTAAAATGCTCAAACATAACTTCATTAAAAGGTTTTATTCCTAGCACTATAGCTCCCTCGGCTCCGACCCTTTAAAGGCAGTGTGAGAGTTAAAAAAAAAAAAAAAAAAACCTGACTGTACTTACCAGATTTCAGTGCCATTGTCCCTCGGCACTCTGCCTCCTCCGTCGTCACCCAACTGGGTGAACGCTACAAGCGCATTAGGCCCTTCCCATAGGAAAGCAGTGTTGCAATGCTTTCCTATGGGGATTTTTTTTTTTTTGTGCTGCAGGTAGGTACATGCCATTGTCAAACGCCACAACAGCATACATATAGTTTCATACAGGCTTAGCATTAGCACATTTAAATATAATCAAGCTCAATAAAAACAGGCTTAACATAAATGAAGAGTTACTGGTATGTAGTTTAGTATGTGTGTGAATTGGGGTTACGTTGCAATAGATTATTGCAGTATAGTGAATGCTTTAACATACATGTCTACATGAGAGACAAGGCAGGAGTTTCAAAAATAAGAAACATCAGACATGAAGATTATTAAATAAAATAAGTAAATAAACAAGCTAGATCAGGTCTGACGCTTGGTAGCCGCTGGGTACTTAAGTTTACGGCAACCATGATACAGGAGGCAAACACGGCGAAACACATTGTATATAATACGTTTGTGCAGGTTGTTTCCTATGGGGACTTTAAAGATGCTGGATGTCCCCATGCAGAGGTTGATTACATCCAGCGTCAGTTAGGTCACCAACCGTTGCCTAGGAAACGGGACGTGCCTCTAGTGGCTGTCCGATTGATCGCTTCTCATGGTTAGGGAGACAGGGACATTGCACCCAGACCACTTCAATGAGATGAAGTGGTCTGGGTGCCGATAAGACCCCTTTAAGTGGGGCCTAAGAACTACATAGTTATTTTTAAAGGTAGTGTTCATTTAAAGCAAAACCATAACTTAACAGTTCCCTCATGCCCAAAAACATTATTGCAGCATTTACTGTGGTGAATACAGCACTGAAGAGAAGTACAAAAAAAACCAACACTTGTCTCCCATGAAATTCCACGTTGTAGGTGACTAATGCCTCAGATATTCTCAGGTACCTACATAGAAATACCATATTTGCACGAAGATGTTTGTGTGATTTTTTTTTCAGTACTGATGTACGCGGCCTTGTGCATGGCGCTGCAGGGGTTGACTTGCATGTTGTGCCCCATGCGCAAAGCATGACATGTAATAGGTTAAAAAACAAAACAAACAAAAAACTTAAATAAATGGCAGAAACTCATCGCTAATTTGTTCTCTTCACAATAGATCATTTACAGCAATGCATTATTTACAGTCACATCTGATTTTAAAATGCATTTGGCATGGTTAATATAACCTATCCACCCCTGCAGCGTCACAAGCTTTCATAATATAATATCTTTATCATCATTCAGTATTGTAGTAGGAGAGACCCACTTCTGCCACCCAAAGATCACTTGAGAAATTGCTGAAAGCCTACTGTTTGGTGCCTGAGCAGACCTACTTTGGCAATACATTATAAACAATGATGAGGAGATAAATATAAGAAATTATTCTCTAGGACAGTTGAGAAACTAGAACATGTGAGGGTGGTTATTCTGCATTTAGGACATTTAGAATATAAAAGTATGTGCATTTTGTTTCCACAAAAGTCAGGTTGCATTTTTATAAGCTCCTAAAAATGTAGAGGTCAGAAGATCTTCAAATAAAATATCTTACCATCAGGAAGAATACTAGGCTGCCAACTTCTTAAGATTTTACTGAATTCCTGTCCAAATTCCTGGTAGTCTGAATCTACAAATATATTGTCCTTTCTCCAGCAAGACAAGAACTAAAAAGAACAACAATATAAGACATAATATATGCAGTTGTCAGAGAAATGTTTCACAATATAATAAGTATACAGCAAAGAAAGAAAAAAAATGTAAATAAAAAAAAAGCTATCCTTAACCAGTTTGATTTGTGTTTGTACCATGAAATCATGATAATGGTTTGAAAAGATGGCTACGTCTGTAGGTCATAAGATAAATTAATAATAATTTCTGACAAGCAAGAGTAGAATGGGTCAGTAACAATAAAAAAAATTACCATGGTCACATGGGGAGGGAGGGGAGGGGGAGGGAGCATTAATAGACAATTGTTCTAAAAGATTTCATGGTTCTTTCATTTGTCTGAAATAGCCTGCAGCACTAACCTCCTGAATTCCAAGACACATATAATAAATGCTGTCCGGTGCATAGATTTCTCCATTTGGTCTTCGGACCTCGTTGACAAAACAAGCCAGCAAACAGCTGAGTTCACGTGGAGTGTGTTGTAGAAGATCTTTTAACTTCACAGATTTAGCTTTAGAAGTAAATAAATATATAAAAACTCAATATTCAAAGTATATTATAATCATAAAGCTATAAAGAAAATGAGAATATGCTTACTGCAGCTTGGTTCTTCCAACTCTAGCATCTCATCGCTGTTACTGGCATGTGTTCTGGCCCAGTGCTTCCAAGCATTCAGACCATAAGAATATTTAAAAGGAAAAACTGAGTCTGTATTCTCAGGGCTATCATCAAGGGATTGGCAATCCAGAAGAGCCTTTCTCTTTGCACCCTAAAAAGCAAAGGGAAAGTACAATCAAAAAATTAAAAATTAAAATAATATTTTTTATATATTATACTAAAATGCATTAGAAATAATATTTTTTAAAAGCATGAACAGGGATGTTTAGTGGACAGTAATTGTAAATACAAATACAAAAAGATAAGTACTGCGCTCACGCCCATCACTCCTGGGCGGGAGCAATGACTACAGTACACATCAGCCCCAATATATAGTTAAAAACTAAAGAAAACAAAGTTACCTGCGCTCTCTCCTTAATCCCTATGTATATTTAGACAAATGGAGGTCATTTAGTTACTCCAATGGCCATTGGAGGGAATGCCCGCCTGCCAACGTTCACGATGTGTACTGTAGTAATTGCTGCCGCCCAGGAGTGATGGGAGTGCGCGCAGGACTTATCTTTTTGTATTTGTATTCACTTTTGTATCACACAGCTTTGTTACAATGCAGCCGCCCATCCCATGTATTCCCTATTAAGGGTTAATAAGTATATAGGGGTGTATATAAAAAATACCCCTCTGTGTCTCAGAGATATCTTTGCCAGAAGCTCAAGGAAGCAAGGTGAAGGGTCAGCGTAGGACCTGCTTAGGGGGTCTGCCTTGACGTTGGCGGGCATTCCCTCCAATGGCCATTGGAGTAACTAAATGTCCTCGATTTGTCTAAATATACATAGGGATTAAGGAGAGAGTGCAGGTAACTTTGTTTTCTTTGGTAGTTATTGACTTCAAAAAAGTCTGAAGGGAGGGCAAGGAGGGAGAAAGAGAAAAGGGAAAAACCAACATATATAGATCCATTGGTTGAAGAACAATCAAAGCAATGTGGATAATAAAGAGCAAACTACTATTAGAAATACATATCTAGAGCAAATGTATTAAATGTTGTAAAGTAGTTAAATACTCATGACATGCAGTATTACAAGGCATTGTGACATGCAGCACTGATTATATGGTTATTACTTTCATTGTTATACATGGGTCTTTACCTACCCAATGCAAGCGGATGCTGATCACATCTCACATGCATAACACATCCGATGACAACAATACACTACCAATGTCATTGACAAACACTACTACATATTATGTTACATACAATAAATTCTATAGTTATTTGTTTTCTGTTATTATTTTTTTACCTATAACTATTAAAAAAAACTAAACTCTGGCGGATCGCGACCACGTTGATCACCACAACATGAAGAAATGCCTTAACAAAACAGCAACTTTTTTTCTCTCTGTACTACATTGTCGATGTATGTACTATGATATGGCTTTTGCACAAGCCACACACTATTAATTTGCTGTGCGATCTGCCATTACAAAAATAAAGAATATAAAAAAAAAAAAAGGAGAAACTGATGCAAAAATGATCAGTCCTGCCTATTGGGGACACTAACAGGATGTAAAATAGACAAGATAAAAGTTTAGTAAAATCATAAAAGGTGAGGCTCCTTATCTTTAAGGCTTCAGATAGAATGGGTACTTTACAACACTGTACATAAGCCAGAAGAACCATTTCACATAAATACCTTTTTAAAGGGTCGAGGTCTAGGTTGATCTTCATATTCTTCCCCAAACACAGGAGGTAGCAGAAATTCATTTTCTGTATCAAGCTCTTCTGCAGCTGCACAGGATCGAAACAAGCACAAACATTTAGAATTGAAATCCACCATAAGGTAGTGAGACTCCACAAAGATAAGAAAGGTACAATTATTAACTGATGCCCACTGCTGGATGTACCTCAAAGCACATTTTCCCAGCAATTAACTTTGCCAACACATGGGAAAAAAATTAAAATAAATACACACCTCTTGGAAAATCTACTTCAATATCAAGCTCTGGATCATAAGGTACATCTGGCAACACTAGTTGCTCTTCTGTAAGGCAGCTTTTAAAAGGGACAACGTCCAATATCTGTGAAACTGCTTCAACTGCAATTAAAAATAATCAGTAAATATTAAGCTAAAAAGAACACGCTTTCAGCTTGAATTACTTAATCACACTTACTGGTAATATTTTCACAGATGTCTTTATCTTCAGGATCTACTTCGATCACAGTCAACTCGTCTATGTCACTGAGCGCTAAGGGACTCTTAACACTTTCCTCATCTAGATCACTCTTTTCTAAAAATTCTTCTGTAGGAATTGGACTTTTCTCTAGCATTTCATCTGTAGATAGGAGACCTTCTACCAATATGTGCTCTGAAGGAAGGGGGCTTTTCTCCATTATTTCATCTCTGGGTAGGGGACTCTTCTCCAATACCACTACTGTATGAAAGGGGCTCTCTTCATGTGCTAGATCTATAGGAAGTGGACTTTTATCTAATATTTCCTCTGGAGACAGAGGGATCTTCAACACATCCTCTGAGGGAAGGGGATTCTCCTCCAACACATCCTCTGAGGGAAGGGGATTCTCCTCCAACACATCCACTGAGGGAAAGGGATTCTCCTCCAACACATCCTCTGAGGGAAGGGGATTCTCCGCCAACACATCCTCTGAGGGAAAGGGATTCTCCTCCAACACATCCTCCGAGGGAAAGGGATTCTCCGCCAACACATCCTCCGAGGGAAGCGGATTCTCCGCCAACACATCCTCCGAGGGAAGCGGATTCTCCGCCAACACATCCTCCGAGGGAAGCGGATTCTCCGCCAACACATCCTCCGAGGGAAGCGGATTCTCCGCCAACACATCCTCCGAGGGAAGCGGATTCTCCGCCAACACATCCTCCGAGGGAAGCGGATTCTCCGCCAACACATCCTCCGAGGGAAGCGGATTCTCCGCCAACACATCCTCCGAGGGAAGCGGATTCTCCGCCAACACATCCTCCGAGGGAAGCGGATTCTCCGCCAACACATCCTCCGAGGGAAGCGGATTCTCCGCCAACACATCCTCCGAGGGAAGCGGATTCTCCGCCAACACATCCTCCGAGGGAAGCGGATTCTCCGCCAACACATCCTCCGAGGGAAGGGGATTCTCCGCCAACACATCCTCCGAGGGAAGGGGATTCTCCGCCAACACATCCTCTGAGGGAAGGGGACTCTCCGCCAACACATCCATTGAGGGAAGGGGATTCTCTGCCAACACATCCTCTGAGGGAAGAGGATTCTCTGCCAACACATCCTCTGAGGGAAGAGGATTCTCTGCCAACACATCCTCTGAGGGAAGGGGATCCTCCGCCAACACATCCTCTGAGGGAAGAGGAACCCCCGCCAACACATCCTCTGAGGGAAGGGAATCCTCCGCCAACATATCCTCTGAGGGAAGGGAATCCTCCGCCAACATATCCTCTGAGGGAAGGGAATTCTCCTCTAATATTTCTTCGGGAGCAGATTGATCCTTTTCCAATGTTTCTTCTGTAGCTAAAGGAAGTGTCTCCATTGATTCTTCTGCACATAAGGTGCTCTTAGCCACTAATTCTGCGATCCCTGTGAATTCTTCAGGTAGTTTACCGTTTTGGACTTTACGGAGAAGAGAATCTGGCAGGAAAATTGGAATCGGGACCTGGGACAAATAAAGATTCTTAATTAGAAGATTTTTTTTTTTACATACGATAATTACAAATTCAATACCTTTTACTAAAATTGATAGCTATGTAGACATTTTTACCATTTTCCTAGCCTCAAAAAGTTTTCCTTCAAAAGATGCCAGACTTCATTCTGCAAACATTTGTCAACATTTAATTAAAAATAAATAAATAAAAAAAGTGCAGAGATGAATTATGGAATGCAGATGGAAAATTAAGCAAAGGTTGTTTTTCCTATATTTAGTTAACTCTCCCACAGCAACCAATGACATACTATGCTGTAGTATAAGGAGATTGTCTGATCTTGTTATGTTTGTGTTAATTCAACAAAAATGAATATAAATACAAGTACAGAATGACCAACTCCTTACTAAAACAACTATTAATAAAACATATCTACTGATAAGTAGATCTTTCCTTTTTCTCAAGCAGCAGTGGACGTGGAATAACATTACAGTACACTAAAGGTTAGATCACTGCTGGAGACGTTTTGCTCAAAGATGCACATTATAACCCTGAATTATACATACAGGAATAGGAACAGCAGTGGGAGTCGGAATGTTCTGACTGTAGAGCTGCATAGGAGCCGGTAAGTACACTGGTACAGGAATAGGCACTGGGACATACTTTGTGTTCAATTCTTCCATCGAAGAAGTTACTGCCATTGTGTTATCTGTTGTAAAAAAACAAAAGACTTTATTCACCTAAAGGAGGCATGCAGTGCAATGACAACAAAGTTAGATATTCAGAAAACAAAACTGTCAGAAATTAACAGTGGAATTTAAAATGTTAGGTCAAACGAGCTGGAAGGATAGTGGAGTTCTGGTTTTCCCCCCATAGTTGGCTATTTGGTTAAAAAATTTAAATACCTCATACTCGTAAATGTGGGCTTATAAGAAAAAAAAAAACAAAGAAAACAAATATACAACATTCGTAGGGAACTGCCATTTGTGAGTGAATTTTAAAATGCATTTTGATCAATAAGCATAACACCATGGTTCGTATTGTGTCTTATTCTTCCGTTTTTCTCTGACCACAAGATATCAATACAATGTGGGAGGTTAGAAATGATTACAAAAGTGTAATTTAGCATAAATGCCAAATGTATTAAGAATAACACACAACTGCAATTCAATCTGTATTTTTCCACCCACATTATTTTTACATTAGTATTTATAATTGAATATATTTGCACTAAAGAATTTTTATGCCTTTAATTTTTATTTTATTTTTAATTTATTAGTTTTTAATATGGAATACATGATTGAGAGTCACGGAAAGGCCATGATCACCTGCGTATGTCCGCTCAAGGCTTTAGTGTTTAGATTACTCACTAGGACTTACTAATTGTCTGTGCTAGGGTAAAGTAAAAATTAGGAATTGTAAAAACTGCAGGTCTGCAGCATTTGCAAACTTATTCTTCTTCTTTCATATACCCCCAAATAAAACAAGCAGAAAAAAAAAAAATACATGCATGTTTACCGTAGGGGAAAGAAAGGAAAAGGAAAAAATAAAGAAAATGGTCAATGTCTGAAAGGTTGAGATTATTTTGTCTGGATGATATTATATGCTCTTTTCATTTTATATTTGAGTTATTCTTAATACATTTCTTTGGTATTTCATAAGGAATTGTGCTATTATAACATTGTGACTATTTTAATAGATCCTACCCCATGAGAATTGCATGTTTGGTTTTTGTTCGCTGTTTTTTTTTTTGCTCCTGTTTTTGTTTAGATTTTGTATTTTTAGAGTAATTAAGGATTTAGAGGAGTCATTTGGAACATACTTAGGAGGAGTAATCTTTAATTTGGCGTGTCACTTTGCTAGTGGCACATTGGTATGAGCTATAGCATAAAGCTTTCCTACAATTTATTGTACTCTTGGTAATACATCTAAATAAATGGTCATGAATGTATACCTGTCTGGCAAATCTTTCCCTGCATGTGAGGTTTGCAGTAGGTAGCCTTGGTCATCGATAATGGTTTACACAAAACAGCTTTATTCTTCATGTCCTTAGACATTGCAGGTGCAGAGGAGGGACCAGCTCCCTGTACATCAAAAAAGAAACCACACATAGTTATCACCTTAAATCCTATATTACATGATCACAATAGTGAGAAAGCAATATGTAACATATTCATAATGTGAGCCAGGAGGTATGATGTGTATTGACAACAGCAAAAGGAAGCCTAAAAAGCGATTACCAAATGAGTACATGATATTATAGGAAAAACAAATACATACATAAAATAGTTACCACAGATAGATCTGGTTTTATGCATTAGTTTTACTTACCAGAGATCTTGTTCGTGTAGTGTGAACACCCTGATCGGCTAAGAAAGGGAAACAAAAAAAAGCATTTAGCCATTAAGTAATATAAATCTTTGCTCACTCTGGGGTGTCTGGTGGTTTAATACTCAATTATATTTGAGAACCAACTGTTTTATTGGTGATCATCCTTAGAAAGGGAAAGTCCAGTAAATTAATACTAAGGTTTATTCCATAAATCGGGAGTTCTCTATTCTGGACAAGTAGTTAACATTTCCTGGTCAGGAAAACCTCATAAGATAGAAAATGCAAAAAGATTCTCATTTTCTAAATAAGAGTTAGTCAACATGGCATTTAGACTTATGTGTGCTTGCATGAGGATTTCATACAAACATCTATTAACCATTCCTGTTGGTGTTAGATTTCAATCACTTTTACTATTATAAAGATGAAAATGGCATGCTCTCCTACATTGATACATTGTGATGAGTGAGAATCGAGATTACACATCACTGCGTTACACTAGTTCCTCACAATCATTCAATATCCAAAATTAGGAAGAACAAAAACTAAATATGTTGATACTGAGAAGAAAGTGTATCTGATCTACTGTGTAGTGCAAGCTGTGAATCAATATGAATACATAGATCATTTACAAACTATGAGTGAATGTTGAAATAGACCATAATGAGGTTTTAAAAATATCAAGACATTTTAGTGCATCTGTTTAACTATACACATCTGCACATTAGGCTAATAAAAACAAGAGTGAAAAAAAAAACGTAAATTACCATAATGCATGTTTTCAGGTCCTTTCTGAGTCGACATGTTGGGCTCATTTTGCTGGCTATAGAAACGCAATAAGCACTGCTGGTCACAAAAGTTTTTTATGGTTCCTCTCCACTGTACTTTTTCCCGAAGGGTTCCTTGAGTTTTACAACAATCACACCTTGCAGCCTGCCCATAAAAAGATGAACGAAAAATAAAAAAGGATAAAAGCAACATTAATAGTAACTGTATATCAAAGATCTAATGTATCACTGTTCCTATGTTGTAACCTATATAAAATAAAAATTTTTAAAAAAAAGACAGGAACCAGAGCTTGAATCCAGTTACAGCCTTGTTCAGGATTACCCTTAACAGCTAAACGTTACTTTTTTCATAATAGAATGGCTATCCTTATTAGACCATAAACTATTACTGCACTTTAGTTTTTAAGCTCTAACTGCAGTGCGAAACTAGTCAAAATGTATTCATCTACACATTATGAATGAGGACTCCATTCTTACACAAAAAGGGGCTTCCAGACTAAACACTTATGGCACTGGATAGTCCATAATTATTTTTACCTCATTTACAAAATACAACTATCTATAAAATAAATAGCGGATATTTTACTGGAGCATATGTTTTCCTTCGATAAACAAAAAGCTTATTTCAGATGGTAAATTTTTTTTCTTTTCTTTTTACGTTACCTTATAGTACCATTCCTGAAATTTTTTGCTGCAGTCTTCACTACAGAAATCTCTAACCATGCCATCGTATTCTTTAGTTGCCCCTCTTTTACACATCTGAAAGCAGTAATTGCAAGTTACACACTTCAGTCCTAGTCGCCTTGCAAAATCTTGCTTGTATAGAAGCTTACAACCTAGAAGTAGAGAAATATCACAAAGTTACAGGACTAATTAAGGGTTCAATTATGTTAACCACATACACACAGCAGCTTCTAGTAATAATAGAGTAGTGTGTGGGGAATTTTTTTTTAAAGTGACACTATAGTCACCAGAGCTACAGTTTATTGTATTTGTCTTGTTAGTAGAATCATTCCCTTCAAGCCTTTTGCTGTAAACACAGTCTTTTCAGAAAAATTAAATGTTTACATTAAAGCCTAGTGATAACTTCACTGGCCACTCCTTAGATGGCTACCGGATGTGCTACCTAACTCAGTGCTGCAGAGTAAGCAGCACTGCCATTCAGTGTCTCCACCCGCTGCATGCAGAAACCAAACTGTCCTCATAGAGATGCATTGATTAAATTCATCTCTTTGAGGAGATGCTAATTGCCCAGGGCTGTGTTTCACTTGTGCTGGCTCTGCCCCTGATCTGCCTGCTTGACAGTCTCAACCAATCCTATTGGGAAGCACTGTGATTGGTTCAGACCACCACTTCTGATGTCAGCAGACAAAGGCAGGTCAGGGAAGACAGGGGCAGAGCCAGCAGCTACAGACTTCAATTTCAAGTGAGATTTTACTATATTTAGGGAGGACAGGGGGGTTAGATGGTGATTTTAACACTATAGGGTCAGGAATACATGTTTGTGTTGCTGACCCTATAGTGCTCCTTTAAAATACACAAATAGTGGTTCCCAAGGCACAAAAACAGTTTAGTTTTTGTCATTTTTCTGAAAAATGAATTGAAAATATTTCTAAATCTTGGACTGTTGATGACCCTTTATGACTTAATTTTTTATATAGTTCAGCTTTTATTGAAAAAGAAAAATAGAACACTTAACAAGCATTAGTACCGATACAGGATATTCACAGTGTTCAAAAACAGGAACAGGCGAATATACGATGTGTGTATTATTAGAGTGTCAGGGATGTTATAACCATAGTAACAGAAAAAAAACCAAACAAATTTAGTGTGTGTAATGGTAGGAGGTGGTTGTCCACAGCTTAAAAACAATCTCCTTAGCCCTCAAATGATTAAATATAGCAGTTGTGAGAGAGCCAGGGTAGAGCATACAGGAAAGAGGAAGAAGGTAGAGGTAGAAGATGCAAAGGAACGTTAGATGAAGTGAAAGAGTCAATCAGGTGGAAATGAAGTGTGGGGATCAGTCAAAGGAGGGCAAAGACCAGGCAGAGCTCCACTACCAGCAGCCACAGGATTACTGGAAAAGTGTCCCTGTCCATCCCCTCCCCCAAACACCACTAACCAATCCAAGAGCCACCAAATGCAGTGAAACCATGTGGCAGTATAGAGTTGATGGTTGTCTGCTGCTGCAAGTGTGGATTTCCTGCACTCTAAGAATACAATCTTGTATGGTGTGTGCTTCTCACCACTTCCAAAAGATGGGTATAAGACTAAGGGCGGCATTGATCAAGTGGGGAAGAACAGATCTCCGATACAATCGTACTGGAAGCATTGTAAGATAGAGCAGGTAGATTCTCTCATCAAAAAAAAGTGGAGTGGCCGCCAGCTGGGAAACTGTGTTGATAGCATTCTAGAATAATCTGATCTCAGAACATAACCACCAATTGTGGTTGAAGGCAGAAAATTGAGCTATGAAAATACAGGGGCACGATCTATAAAACCAAACTGCTTCATTAAGCAGTTTTGATTAGAAAGGTGACCAAACTTATCGAATTCTGACATCACTGAAGGCATCGGTAACATTAAAAAGCATAAAAATGGCACATGTCTCAAGTTAGTGTGGCTTCCTTTTGTGTTTACCGTTATTGTATTGAGCGATGTAACAGGGGCTAACTATCGCCGCGGTAGCCATGCGGCCTCCATCGGGGGGATATTGTAGAGGGAAGATTAGTAGTTCCTAAAGGCATAAGCAATAGATGTGGGAGAATAGTGTGTGTGTGTGATTGGATCTTACGGACATGTTTTCTGTCAACGTGTACTCTAGCCAATATCTTGCCACTCTGGTTACTAAACACATAAAAGTATTTCTAATCAATTTAAGAGTCAGTTTGACCTGGAGATTTAAGAGAGAGTTCAATTTTGAACGGAGGGAAGTTAGTTTCAGATACTCTGCTTTTTTTAAGATACTTTTGTTCTTCAAAAGCCACTTCAGTAGCCACTATTTGATGCAAGAGAAAGAAGACATTACATTATTTATTTTTTTTGCAGGTGAAAGCAAGTGTGATAATGTGTCAGCGAATCACACATTTATTAGGCTCCTAAACAATCAGGTGAGTTAGGTAGTGAATTTTTCTGGAAATATTGAGTACGGCGAGCTTTGAGGTCAGTGATGAAGGACTGGATTTTGAATCTCTGCTCTTTGAAACACCACTACAGTTCTGTGTAGTTGCCATTCCCCCAGATATTCGTCAAACCAAGCTGTAGTACTTAATTTGCTTACACAGTCCCTTTAATAAATCATACAAGCACATTTTACAAACATGGTTTTAAACACGACATATTGCATCCAGTCAAAACAATTTTAGCATACCTTCACTACAGAATGGTTTCTTGACACCAGAGAATTTAATGACTTCATGCAAAGTCTTCTCCTCCTGGCAGTATTCACAGTATGTAACAATACAGTGCAGCTTCTTGTAGTCCTCACAACAAGTGGTACTGCAGAACTGATTAACTTTATTCTGCATAGACAAAATAATTATACATAAATTACAAAATGCAAAAATTAAAGTGGCAGTTATGCCCTGTATTGCCAACTCTGTATTTATGAGGTGTCAAAAATAAAATGTAGACATCTACACCTCTATATCCAGCATATGGGTACCTCCATCTTATCTCCCTGTCAATCATTGTTTTAAGCTATGTCCTTATAGCTGACAGTCACCATAGAAAAAGCATACACAGAAGAGGAGAAATTAAACAAAGTTTCTATTTCTTCTCTTCATCAGCAATGTTTGGATTGGCTTTCCATTGTCTGAACTGGATTTAGATGCCATTTGATAAAATATCCAATTCAAATTTAAATAAAACTGAGCATCTCTTGGAATAACGTTAACACAAGTTAGAGGTGATTTTTTTTTTTTTAAATGTTTTACTCAATGGCGTAAATACCAGGAGTTACAGTTACTCTTTAAAGGAAAGAGACATGCTTGACAGCTTTTTTTTAAATCAGCAAGCAAACCATTTTAAACAAATATACCAAACAAAATTAAGCAAGAAAAACTTTGCAAGTTATGTAAGGAAGATTTATATAAGTACCATAAACTTGGTCCAATTGCATTATTAGGCACGCCTCTCAGCTAGGGAAGTTTCTTCAGCATCCCCTCCCGCTTTTAGACACCTATCTCAGTATCAGACCAGTCCACTAGTGACAGAAAGATGAGACAGAGAGAGAGACCGAGACAGACAGACAGACAGACAGAGAGACCGAGACAGACAGACAGACAGAGAGAGACCGAGACAGACAGACAGACAGAGAGAGACCGAGACAGACAGACAGACAGAGAGAGAGACCGAGACAGACAGACAGAGAGAGAGACCGAGACAGACAGACAGAGAGAGAGACCGAGACAGACAGACAGAGAGAGAGACCGAGACAGACAGACAGAGAGAGAGACCGAGACAGAAACAGAGAGAGAGACCGAGACAGAAACAGAGAGAGAGACCGAGACAGAAACAGAGAGAGAAAAAAGAAAAAAACACTGAAGCCTACTCTACATGAGTCTCCCTATCCCCTGTTAGATGTTGCAAAGTGAAGAGAACTTCCAACTGCACATGTGTAAATCTGTCTTTCATACCCAATGCACTTTTTCAGCATTCCTAGGGACAGGACAATCAGTTAGATCAAAGCCAAAGTGGGAGCGGAAAGCATAAAAAAAAGTTGTAAAAATAAAAAAAATATAACAAATATTGATCAACTTTTTCAGGCCTGCAGAGTGAGGCAACGGTCTAAAAGTTAAAGCTTTTGAACGAGACCGTTGCCTCACAGTGATGCGCATAAAAGGGGGGAGATATATATATAATACTTTAATAAAGGGGGAGTCCATACTTTTCTGAAAAGAAAAAAAAAAAAAAATATATATATATATATATATATATATATATATATATATATATATATATATATATATATACACACACACACACACACACACACACGTTTTGAATTTTAATATTTTTATTATTATTATTATTTTTAAAAGACACCATTGATCAGGTTCATATACCATTCCATCAATATACTTAATTGCTCAGCACTAGGGAAACGCTGGTCAATAGTGGCTTACTTGCCAAACACTAGACCAGAAATTTCTAGGTGCTATAAAGTAAATCCATCTTCCTGCATTTTTAGAAATTTGTCATAAATAGCAAGCTTTAATTATAGTAAACATGCAAACCATGTAACATTGTCACAATTGGCTTACCTCCCACTCCAGCGTTTCTGGCTTGGAAGAAAACACATTTTTACAGTAATTGCATTTTAGCTGAATGTCACTGCTGGCATGCTGACCATTTGTGGTTGATTGCATGCTAAGAGTCTACACAGAGGGGAAGAGGAAAAAAAAAAAAAGTTTCACATTAAATGTGTGCACCATTTCACATAATTTTATACAAAAAAAGTACAGCGTTGAATAAGCAAGTTCATTTTCTTCTAGTATCCCCTTCAATTTGACAAAAATCTCTACATCAACAGCAGTAAAACATCTATTTACTCAGGCTAACTGCAGTTCCCAATGAAACTAATCTCCAGATCTTATATTCCTACTAAAAGATAAAAATTCAGGTTTTTTATATGCTATATGTTTAACTATAAATATTGTGAAACACATTCACTCACCTGGAACTTTGCTACGCATCCAGAGCTGCAGAAGTTGTACAGCTTTCCATCAGGCATTGTGGCTTGATACTGAGGTAAAGAGTTTTTTTTACAAAAATGACAAATAATTCCCGCATCTGCAAGGGAGAAATTACGTATTTATACATTAAGGTAAAACTATATTTTTTTTTTTACAACCACAAAGTAACGCAATGCCTTAACGATGCATGAAATAAAAAAAAATTTAAAAAAAAACACAATTACTTTATTTCTATTAACACATACTAATCTTATTGTTTAAACTCAAGTCTCCTATTTTCTTCTAAGATATAAAATAATTCACTTTTTTTTCCTTTTTTTTAAACCAAGATATTATGTAACCAGATTGGATTAATCCAGGAAGTCATATCTTTTTAGGATACTAGCCAAAAGTACATTTACACTCGCACATCTGAAATTCAAGCAATGTTGTCTTACACTCTGCAAACAAAGTAATATGCATCTGCTGGAACAAACGCTTTAACTTCAATGGTCTACTTAGTTACTACGGTAAATATATTTGGCAGTTACAAGGAATGAAATACACAAACTTTCACAGAACTCTCAATAGTGGACACAGTGAAGCTTTACATAGACGGTTACTGTGACTGTATAAAATACAGTCAGACACTGTTTTCAGTGATATGCAATGGTGTACAGGAAAAAAAAAAAATTAAAAGAAAAATTTGCCATTATCTGCTGCAGTGTCCTGTTACCATATGGGAATACAATTCATTAAATGGATTACAAAACTTCTCAAATACACATCCAGTAATAGCAGTTGTACACTTACTCTGAGTTGGAGGTTTTGCATATTTTGCCTTGTGATTATTCATGCACGTAGTTGAACAATATGGTTCCATGTGCCCATTCGTTCCAATACACTGGGTCATATCGAAGCACCTGCATTGCGCTTTACATCCCGTGCAGCTTGTTAGCTTGCCATGTTTCTAAACAAAACAAACCAAGTACTTCAATTGTAAAAGCACAAAATCATAATTTCATTTCAAGGAGACAGACACACTATCACAAAACAAGATTATTTTTTTTCTAAAAGTCATACAAAGACTCACTATTTTTTTTTTATTTTTTTTTATTTATTTTTTTTAACTGCAGTAAAAACTGAAAATGTACACTTATAAAATATACATCACAGGTTCCAAAACTTAGTTTCTTTTCCCCCCTTCCCCCTCCAACAATCTGATGTTAAAATTTTAATATAGAGATTAATAGGTATTCTATATTTCCACAGGTAAACTGGCATGCTAAACGCTGACATCACTATAGCGTCCGATTTGCTTACTGCTAAGTGGAAAAACACCAGCACACAGACCTGTTTATATTCACATGAAACATGAGGTATGGAGGAAAAGCCAGGGTATCCAGTCTGTGATGTATATATCGATAGCTGAATTTAAGTTACATCATACATTCCAAACATGTATGGTGCATACTCAAATTATGATTCTGGAATTGAGAATATTAACAAAGTACTTTGGAAAAAAAAAAAAAAAGATGTGTTTTTGCACAACAATCTGTTGTGTTAAATTTGAATTGAGTCAGGTTTATTCTGGAGTCACTGGATGTATGGTTCAAATGTATCTATCCCTTTGTGAAATCACAGAAGTCAAACTACAAAGAAGCTGAGAAAGGCAACAGTTTGTCTCCCAGTTTTGCAATTCTGGTAAACATTTTTGTGGTGCAATATGCCTCTTCCCATAAAAGAAATCATACTGATGTTCCTGTAACATGCAAGTAGTTTTAATTAAATGTCCTTTTAAAATATAAACAGGATCTCGTACAACTTATTAACATGTATATAAACTAATTTAAATGGATTGTTTAGTAAAAAAAAAAATAATTAAAAATTCATATTTCGTCAAATATTTCTATAAATAGTCCTATGTGTTAGAGGTTAATACCTTGAGCATTGCAAGCTTTGCATTAAAGAAAAATGGTCAGTCTCATGTGTGATTAACATGATGGTTTTTCACTACTGAGACAAAAGGTAGCCCTCAAGCAACATAATCAGGTACAGCTTACTGGCAGTCTTGCATGGAGCTGGAAATAAGGTGCAAATGAGATGGGTGAAACACCCAAATTTGAATGTCATGGGTAAGCTTAAAGGGACTATAGTGACCAGAACAATTACATTAAGCTGTAGTTGTTCTGGTGAGTATAATCATTCCCTGCAGGCATTTTCATGTATACACAGCCTTTTCAGACAAAAGGCAGGGTTTACATTTCCCCCTAGGGATATCTCCAGTGGCCACTCCGATTCCTGTGCAGTTCAGCTTCTCCGCTAAACTTTCCTCATAGAGATACATTATTCAATGCATCTCAATGAGGTACTGATTGGCTAAGCTGGCTTTGGCCCGATTGGCCCGCCTCCTTGTCGATTTCAGCACTATGGGAAAGCCTTGGATTGGCTGTAATCATAAACTCTGTCAGCCAAGAGGTGGATCGGGACGGGGCCAGCGCCGGCAGACTTGCATGGAGCTGGAAATAAGGTTAGTTTTATTACAGTTTAAGGTGGTTGGGGGTGGTTTTAACACTATAGGGTAAGGAATACACGTTTGTGTTCCTGACCCTATAGTGGTCCTTTAAGCAGCAACAATAAAGCTTACTCTGTGTCCACAGCATTACCTTACTCTCCAAATGTATGCATATAATGAGGAAAATAAACTTAAATTGATTTCCCACCAAAGTTGCTTAAATAACAAGAAGCATGCTACCTAAAAGTTGCAAATTAAGTAAGGAAATCTCCAATTCATTTTTCCATCAAAATTACACCCCAATCAATCCAACTTTTGTAATCTAAACGATATCATTACTTCCGACCTCCATAACACGTTACGTTTTTTGTATTTTTAAGAGTGAATCAACAAATTATTTTTTATTTCCTGCCTTTAAAATATACTGTTCCACCTAGAGAACACACAAATGGTGCACTCCAAAGGCAAACATGAAGGAAATAAATAGAGGATAAAAGAGTAGAAAGAACTAGAACAAATAACCCTTTTTCTATGGCATGTATTGCCCACTGCGTCCAATAGTTACAGTGTAAAATGAATCCATCAAAAATAAGAACATGATAACATTTTTCATGGCCAAAGAACTATTTCTGTGCAGGGGTTTAAGTGTCCAAATTCGGGAGGAAGAGATCAGCAACGCTGAATGTAAAATCTTGAAGGTACTTTCCAAGAGCGCTTATTGTCAAAATACAATTCATGCCCAATTTCCTATATTTGGGGTTTTGTGTCTTAGTGGTATCGTTTTGGATCATTAAAATGTTAGATATACCTCCATTCTATTGTCTGATCTAATTTTACATTTTGGATTAGCCTCTTTAACCCCTTAAGGACCAAACTTCTGGAATAAAAGGGAATCATGACATGTCACATATCATGTGTCCTTAAGGGGTTAAAAACACATTTTAAAAAACCCATTGTATTAGTTGATGAAATAAAACTCAGGCACGTTCTTGGTTATTTGTTGTACTGCAGTAGCACTGCAGGATAGATGAGATACAAGAGTATGTATGCTATAATATCATATTTTGTGAAGCACTACTGATTGCTTACTAGAATGTCGATCAGTTTGTGTGCGCTTACACAAAAATTTTATTTTTATTTTTAAATTATGTGTAGGCATTACTGATCTTTTAAGTATTGAAGTGATGGTGGGAGCTCTTCAACCTAGAATTTTTAAGGGGATATCCTCCATACTTAAAGTAAACATAACTTAATCTCATGCTTTAATTTTTTTTTTTTATTGAGAACAGTAAAACAATTCAAAATATTTTTATAAAATGACAACCTACTTGTCATGGAATGCACTCGTGGCAACTATGGTACAAATCTAATCTCCCTGAAAAACCTCTCTCTCCTCAATCCTAAAGAAGTTCCAACAAAACATACAGAATAAAAAAAAAAAAAAAAAAACTTAAATCAAAAAATATCAGAAGAATGTGCAACCAGTCAGAAAGGAGTAGGCCTGAAGCATTCTTGCAAGTATAAGAATATCCCCAAGCCTAAAAGAGAGGCAACGTTAAGCCCCCACTAAAAGGGGGAGAGGGAGACTTTAAATTGAGATATATCAGGTTCAAATGTACTCTTGTATAAAAATGTTGAAGTCTTTTGGCAGTTTGTCTTCCAGAATAATTTACCATGCGAGTTTTCAATGCAGGCTGTAAGTAATTAACCAGATACTCATGCAACTCCAGAACTAGTTCTTTCAGGATTATTATTTTATAGTAAGTGTATATATTCAAAAAAATAAAAAAAATTTTTTTTACTAAATGTGTTATGTATACAATTCGGTATAGCAGATTCTGTTTTGCCATTGATAATAAAGTAGTACCATGTGACTTAAAGGGACACTCCAGGCACTTACACGTGTGCAAGTCAGTTATTCTGTGTCTTTTTCCACCTTAATTTTTCTTCCTTTAATAACTTTGCCCAATGAGCACACCAATTCTGCCTCTTCCCAATCTACACCGTTTCATTTTTCAATAAAAAAGTTGTATGTGATGTTGACAGGCTACACTGTGAAAGTGTCTGCGAAATTTCAGATCACCTATTTGCTTTCTACAATAGAAAGTGGACAGTGAACTACAGCTCACAGAAACCACTGCACTGCCCATAAATCATGTAGTCCATGAATTTATTGTTTAAACCCAAAAATACCAGATGGAGGAGTGGCTTTATGTAAAATCCCTGTAAAAGCTGCAAAGTCTGGGGATTCGCAGCAGATGCAGGGACATAAAATGTATCTTATGTTTTTGCTGTATTTTCCATATTTTAGTGCATCTACATAAAGCACTGAAAAAAATGGGTAAGATCCAGTCTGGAGTGAACCTTTAATTTGTACATTGCTTGTATTTTACACTTATTATTTAACAGGTATACAGCATAACCACTGGATGTAGGGTAGTTAAGAAATGGTAGTGCTAAAATAAATTACATCAACACTGTTTATTTTAAATATTTTTACATTTTAATGATAATTACAAACATTAATGAAGAACAGTTACAGTGCTGTTTTTCCACTAACAAATGTATGCAGTATAAAAAGCACTAATTTTAACCATACAAATCTTTGGTTTCTGTATAGGAAATTGTACCGCAGTTCCAAAACAAACAAACATATAAACAATATTTTATGAAAAGCAGTACGTCCATTGCACTGAACAAATACAATGCATGTGTTTTATATAAGGTGGTTCATTTTCAGAAAGGCAGGCACAAAAAGATCAATTTAAATTTGGGAATAAAAGGGAAACTGGGGGATACTGTATTTTAACCCAACTAAAGCAGAGTTGAGTGAACTAAGCATATTTTTAAAGCGCATGCCGATTTCCAGATAAAATCACTTCATAGAACAGAACAGCAGATAGATACCTGCCAGTGTGCCAAGTTTCTTTAGTACTCAGACATCCAGACATTAAAGGGACACTCCAACCATCCGGAAAACAAACGTGCACATTAAAAGGACACTATAGGCACTCAGACGACTTCAGCTTATTGAAGTAGTCTGGGTGCAAGGTCCTAGTCCCCATAACGTCTCAATTGTAATTATTGCAGTTTTTGGCTAACTCCACCGACAGCCACCAGAGGAACTTCCAGGTGGTTAGGCGACTTTTGGTCGCCTGACACTGGACGTCCTCAAGCTCTGCACGAGGACATCCAGCATCACCTGAAACCCTTAGCAAAATAGTTTCCCTTTAAAGCTTAAGATAAGAAAAATTAACCTTACTTTCACATGCCTGCCTAAATTAACAGTTTTTGGAAAGTTAATGAATCCATTAGGCATTTAAAACCTGCAGAATAATGTTCCACTAACATCTTTCAACAAAGACAGCTTAAGGTAGCAGAAATTCCCCAGTCATTACTAGATGCAGCAATATCAGTATTGTTTGCACTGATGTCAACTTCAGCAGTCTTGCTGCTACAATGCATGCATTAACACTTTCCATAAGATGGCATGAAATAGTGTATGCACAACTGCATCATTTGCACATGTGTTAACTGGGATCAGTGGGCACATGCGCATTGCTAAATATGTACATGTCCCATATGTAAGAACAGTGACCAACAGCGGCAGGAAAGTAGTTCTTGTTAGCTAAAGAGTGTTAAATCACTGGCTGAATTATAATTGAACAGGTTTAATTATTTTTTTTTTTATTAACTCCTTAAGGAGACACAACATGTGTGACATGTCAGGATTCCCTTTTATTCCAGAAGTTTGGTCCTTAAGGGGTTAAATATCTTTTTTGGTAGGGATTTGAATTTTATTTATAAATTTTTTTTTTTTATTGGAGGGAAAGTTAGTTGGCTCCAACATGGAGTGCAACTTTAACACGACTTTGTCCTTTTTCTTTTTTATTTTACACACGCTCCTCTGCTCGTGAAGCAACTCAAATATAAGTTTAAGAAGGTGGAAATAAAAAATAATAATAAAAACTAAACAAAAAAAAAACAAAAAACTTTTCTACTGCTCAATATTACTCATTCCATGAGGTTGCAAAAATACAAAGTGTTTACCTGAACTGTCCAAAGCATATTAAAATATCTTTAATTGGTAGGTTGCCAACATTTCTGATCAGAGATACTGCAATATGTTAAAAACCAAAGGGGCGGGGGGAGGGGAGTGGGGGATGACTTTCTTTTTTTAAAGTTTACTGCCCAATAAACCAAATCCCTATGCACATTTGTTTTTTTTTTGTTTTTTTATAACTGGAGAGTTTGTAGTAATGCTCCAATGGCAGTCAAGTGCGAGCTCACCTGATATGTCAAAGAAAAACCTCATAGGTGAGTCCTACACCAACAATTCACCTTTCTACATTCAACCAAAAGGCAGAGAGGGGTATTTTTCTAAACCGTTACACACTTATTAACCCTGAAAGCAGCAAGGTGAATTGTTAGTGTAGGACTACCTGTGAGGTTTTGCCTTGACGTGGCAGGTGAGCCTACACTTCAATGGCCATTGGAGTAATACAAAAAAAGAAAAAATTCCAGTCATTTAAATGTGCATAGGGATTTAGGATACTGCAAAATTATGTGTTGGGGCTAATATTTTCTATAGTCTTTGCTGCCGGCCAGGAAAAGTGGGAGCTAGAACACAGGGCACAGCACTAGAGGCAATCCTTGTGATTGCTGCGGGGAATTGGCTCTTTCTATGGAGGATCCTCCATAGATTTTAATGCTGTACTCTTGTGCACACCAAAACAAATCCAGCACAACAACCACCTCAACTTAATCAAGTTGTTTCAGTGCCTGGAGGCCTTGAGCACCATCTCATCTTAAGAGGTTAAACCACTTATGATTGGTTTAACAAAGGGCTCCAAACCGCACCTGTCCTCCAGATCCCTCTGTCCCTCATGATCTTTTGCTTCAAATAAACATTGCAAAGAATGCCTGTGGTAAGCCAGAAACGTCAGTTGATGCTCTCAGTCCAAGTCCTCCCATTGAGGAAAATCACTTTGTGGGAGGGGGTTGAGGAGTACTGACGGCAGCCCAATAACCAAATGTAGTCGAACGGGTATGTATTGCAGATGAACACCTTGACTTTGGAAGTTATTCTCACAATAATTGTTTTCGCCCCCCAGGTCTTTGCATCTGAATATCAGGCACTTGCTTCTTATTGCCAAAGTTTTCTATATATCGGCACAACACTAAAAATCTTTTGCCTTTATGCCAGATTCTCACCTTTAGAGCCTGGAAAGACTTGGAGGGGGTGGGTGGGTGTGTGTGTGTGTGTGTGTGTGTGTATATATATATATCTATATATCTATCTCTCTCAAGCATCACGAGATACGCAATGTCTTTGAAACAAGTGTTTAGATTAGTTACCACAGTATCTTGTTTGGCAATAAATTCAACCATACACAGATGGGGTAGATAATTACAGAGATATATGACAAAGTGTGCAGATTAGCATTTATGTGAAATAAAATCTAATTATCAGCTTAAAACACAAATACAGAATTACAAAATCAAGCATTTAATATTTAAATTAATTCAACTCTAGAACTAGAAATACATTATAGGTATTTTTCTATACCCAAGGGTCTGTTTATCCACTACCTCGTGCTACTGAAGTATTTAACAAGTATACCAGTGCCCCCTCCCCTCATGGTTATCATCGAACTATTAGAGAGTGGTTTGATGGAAGCCAGTGTTCTCCCCAGCACTTCGAAGCCATCTACTCCCCAGCCACACTGTCATCATGGAATAGAAATAGGTTTAAGTCAGACCTACCCAATCTGAATGGCTTTGGCCAAGAGAGTTAGGGACAGGTTAGTGGTTAGTCTAGGGTTATCTAAACTTTTGCAGTTTGACATGAAACTGGGACATGACATACAGATTTAGAATGTCCCTGGGTGATTGAGCAAAATCAAATTGAAAACCTCCCACTTCCTAACAATATATGAAGAGAGGGACAACGAAACATGGACATTTTCAAACAGACCACGCGTCAACTGCCTATATAGTAGTTTGCACACAAACATTTTCTTAAATAAAATATTTTCTACATTTCCTAACATATCAATTATGAAAATAACTCATTTTGAAATATTTTCCTTAAAATATCCCATTTCAAGCACCAAATGAGGTTAAAGGGTTTAAACTTTGGAAATCGCAACATATTAGTGGTTAAAAAAAAACACTCCAGGCACCATAACTTCATTGCAATGATGTTTTGTTTGAGGAGGTCAATTTGCTCCATAAGTGGTTAAACAGCTAACGAACAGTGTTGAATCTGGCACCCAGATTCTCTGCCCATCTCCTGCCACAGTCCGAGACTTGAATCAGGAAGCCTCAAACAGGATGCTCAAGGCCTATCAATAGCTCCTCCCCAAAACAGCTAGAGAAAATAAGTTTATTTTAAATGATTCTCAAGCAGTTTTGTGAATGTGGAGCTATTGATAGGCTGAGAGTTTTAACCTCTTGAGGTAAGCTGTTGGCAGGATCCACCCATAAGATAACTTCATTCTGATTATGTTGTTTTGGTGCCTGGATTGTAGGGTAGTGATAATCCTGCTACAATTTTTAGGTGACCAAATGTAATATTTTTGGTGTACACTGTAATGGTTAACTACTATAAACTATCAGGATTAGTATTGATTACAATACAAATAGTATGCAGAAACAAAAAAAACAAAAACAAAGAATCTCTTGTATATCATATCAAGATAAATGCCTATGCAACCCACAACCAGAAAAAATATATTTAAATTGTATATTTCTATCGTTATACTATATTTTCCTTAAACTGAGATGCAGTCATAGCACTTAGAACAGAGTGAGGTTTCTTTATTCTTATTACAAAATTTGAAACACAAAACTTTAGAGTATGCTACGCTAGCACTATATCCATCTATACATCTTTATGCTAATAAACAGGGATAGTTCAATTGCTGTGATTTCAAAAAGGCATGGCACAGAATACTTTGCACCTTGTCAAATTAATGGCAAAGCTTTTGTTCTCTTAATGGTGAGTGCACCCTGTGACGAACTGAAAGTGCATGTTTTGCAGGATAAAACCAAATAAGAATCTACAAACATATGAATCCTTGTTTGTAACAATGGGTTGCAAACACAGTGCTAGGTATTACAAACAGCAATATATGGACTACATAAAATAAGAATATGCAACACAATAACTGTCAAGAATCAGAAGATAAATATTTGTAACAGTATATATGTGTATGTATATACACACACAAAATCACATTATGTATGAGTATACGCCACACAAATTAAACAGTTAAATTTTGTCTCTATTGTTAAACAAATATAAAATTATTTAACCTTTTCACTGTCAAAGGATCTGGTCACAATTTGCACATCACCTGTATGCAGACCCTGTGACAAAGAACGGATCAAAATGAAAGATTTCTTTTCTTTCTAGTAGTACAAGTTGTGACAAGTTGAAAGTGAGTTTACCAGCTTAAAATCATTGAGGCAGGCTGGGCTGCAAAACCTCTTCCACTGGCCTTCAACCATAAGTACATTATTTCCAGCGCCTTTGCTTGGCAAATATTCTCCACACTGTTCGCAGCAATTCATGATCAAGCCATTAGCCATCCTGTATCGATTGAAGCAGTGATCGCTGCAGAGCTTATGGGTCATGTTTTTAAAGCTAACCTCATGGCGAATCTGGGGAAAACAAGTAAAAAAAAAAAAAACAATGTCACATGTCAAAAAAACCAAACCAAAAAAGTCTAATTTAAGGTTAATGAGATTAAATTAACAACCAAACATGATGAAAACATGTGCACCCTTTTCTTGACAGATACACCACAAAGAACATTTTAATCTGCTTTCAATAAAAGCAAAAGTAAAATAGACGTGGATATACCACCATCCTCTTGATAGTGTTCACCTTTACAATTATTAATGAGGTAACACTTTTTTTAGGTTAAGCAACATGCATTTTTTTTAAATCAAGGGGGGGCAGAGGTTGCAGAAAAAAAACATTTTAAGAATGACAAAGCATCACGGAAGCTGTAGTTTTAAAAGAAAATCTAGGGATCTACCTATTGGGCACCTCTGGCTTAAACTATCCTCCTTACATCTTAAAATATTTAACTTTATATAGTTGTCAGAGTTCAAACATCAATAATGTTAAACAGCAGAGGGTGCCAGCAAGCATGCAAGAAAACAAAAACTTAAATAAAGGTAAAATAAGACATAAGTTTATAAAAACGTTGCAAGAACAAACAGTCCTCACTTATGTTCACCTCAACCTTTTCTAATAATTTGTTCATATACACTTCAATACCCATTATAAACTTGTTCCCTGGATGAGATAAAACAAAACAAAAAAAAAAACAAAAACAAAAAACAAAAGGACAGACCTACTTTAACCCCTTAAGGACCAAACTTCTGGAATAAAAGGGAATCATGACATGTCACACATGTCATGTGTCCTTAAGGGGTTAATGTCCAGAAAACATATCAAAGCAATATGTGCTCTCATTCCACAATGCCAAGCACAAAGCCTGCTGTAGTGGATATAGGGAGAGCATCAGCCATAGAGTGCAGACGTGCATCCACCAGGCTTTGCTTGGTGAGGACATCCAGCTTCTTTAGGAAACGACTCAATGTGGTGCAAGTGATTGGGGACCCAGGTACGTTCTCAAACCTTATTAAAAATGTTTGACAAACTACTCTGGGAGAGCACATATGCACTCGTGTCATCATAACCACTATGGACTGTGGTGGTTATATTGCTGAAAGTGTTCCTCTAACATAGAAGTCTATGATTTTGATAAATGCTTACAAGCCATTTGGCCAACACCAACAGTGAAAAGTTAAGCTCTATGATGTACTATGATGTCATATGCACAACAGATGCATTATAAATACAAGTATACAAACATTTCTGTTAATCCATACCTCTGTTAATTTGCCACAAATAGTGCATCTCGATTTGCTTTGATTTTTGGAAGAATTCTGCTTGTCCTCATAGACTGATAAACAATACGTACTGCAGAACTCTTGGAAAGATTCGCTTGAATCTACTTGAGCAACAATTGTTCCTTTCATTGTTGTAATATCTCTGGGGGGAGAAATCATCACGGATTAATGATTGCAATACATTTTAAACAGTCTGAGTTTGAAGTACACACATTCACAAACCACATGGAAAATGACAGAAAATTTTTATAAATATGTGTAACTACGTGCCGTATTGCTAAACTAAGATCAGCAGTTTTAAATCTGTTGTGGTTTTATCTTTAACGGAGCATTATATATGCAGCTGACAGACCCAAAAGCCCAACGAATCAAGAGCCTCTCATTCTGGTCTATTCCAAACATGATTTATGGAATATATAATCATCCATTTGCTTTTCACTTTGTATGAGTGCACATGTTCAATAAGTGAGAAAAAAAATCCATATTGTGGCTGCTATAGGTTTATACTAGCTATAATACTTAAAGTGGCCTTTAAAAGAAGATACAGACAGTTACAAAATGAGTGCAGCTTAGTTGTAACAGAACCATTTAATAAATACCCAATAAGTACATGGCTAGGTCTGCTGAACTGAGTATTGATTCATTTGACACATTTATTTGACATTACATGTCTAGAAAGGGGTAAAATCTAAAGATTGTATACGATAGATTATTTGCATTTCACAAATTGGGCAAGACAATATATATAAAGCTCTTGTTGTTTCAGAACAGTCATACGGTTTCATCTACTGCTATATCAATATTTTGAATGTTCACTGAAAATGGAAAAGGAAAGCCAGTTTGTCCAGCATATAGATACAAACGATATAGATTATATAATAGTCGAAAGATAGGTTGATTTATTACACCACTTTTTATACAACATGAATTATTTTACCAATTGTATTTTCATTCAGACAAGTCTGGTTAGTATATAAAATCTGTATTGCAGTTTTGGGAGTAAACCAAGTTTAGTCAATGTTTTACTGCCATCTAGGGGCTATTCTTCTAACTGACTTTATGTGTGACAAATTGTAGTAATTAAGCAAAATAGGTTTTTGTTTTGTTTTTTTAAATAGCAGAATACAGGTATGTCAAAAAAATAAAAAATTATCTGAGAGACGTGAGAACTTAAAGGAGCACTATAGTCACCCACACCACTTCGTCTCAATTAAGTAATCTGGAAACCATGTCCCTGTCATCTTAACCCAGCAAGTAAAACAGTGCAGTTCTAAAAATTGCATTGGTTTTAAATTGAAAGGTTAAAGTGAACATGCTATGAATGATTTAACGTACCTTAAAAATCGCTCCCATGTACATTGAATACACAATATATAACAAACATACATGGTGCATTCAATGTAAAACAAAGAATTACTAACTTTTACTGCATTCCAGCACAGCCATCTTTATGCTTCGTGGGTTCTTTGTGTAACACCCACCTGCGGACATAGTCTTCGACTGCTTCGCTCCGCCTCTGTTATTCTTTGATTTTCCTTGCTTAGGACGTATACCCAAGCAGAGAATTTTTAGTCAGTGACGTTGGCACACTGGCTTTGTTGCCTATACTCCAATACTTCATACCTGGCAATGGAGTTTCCATAGTAACTGCAGTGCATGTGCTGTGGTTGCTATGAGAGGATAGCAGAGGGATCTCGTGTGGGAGTCTTTTCGCAGTAATACCTCTGCATTGGTGATATCTGAGAGAGAAACCTATTTTTAAATGGGTTTTTCTCCTAATCTAATCATTTGCTAGCAAAACTGCTTGCATGACATATAGATTAAATCTCATGCTTAATCCAATATGCATCGCCCAGTCCAGGTTTGGTCAGTAAGCCCATATGAAGAGGATTAAGGAACACTACAACTGTCCCTAGTTATATACAGCCCCCTCCTAAACAAAAAGTTTTACTTAAGCATTTTCCAATATCAAGGCTCCCTCTGTGCTGCTCACCTTTCAGTCTTCCGCAACGTCAACAAAAAAAGCATGGCCTCCACTGTATTCAATGTTTTCCTATTAGTTTCCAAGTCATGTGACCGTATTACTCTGTCAGTGAAACGGTGTGACTCTAGTGGCTGTCAGTAAGATAGCCACTAGAGATGGATTAAACACTGCAATGTAAATATTGCGGTTACTAAATAAAGGTTTTACAATGCAGTGTTAAGAAGACACGGCCAGTACACTAAGACCACTTCACTGAGAACTTTAGTGGTCCTTTAGGAATTGCCCGAGTCATAGACTGTAAGTGTTTTAAAGGAACACTATAGTCACCTGAACAACTTTAGCTTAATGAAGCAGTTTTGGTGTATAGAACATGCCCCTGCTGCCTCACTGCTCAATCCTCTGCCATTTAGGAGTTAAATCCCTTTGTTTATGAACTCTAGTCACACCTCCCTGCATGTGACTTGCACAGCCTTCCATAAATACTTCCTGTAATGAGAGCCCTATTTAGGCTTTCTTTATTGCAAGTTCTGTTTAATTAAGATTTTCTTATCCCCTCCTATGTTAATAGCTTGCTAGACCCTGCAAGAGCCTCCTGTATGTGATTAAAGTTCAATTTAGAGATTGAGATACAATTATTTAAGGTAAATTACATCTGTTTGAAAGTGAAACCAGTTTTTTTTCGTGCAGGCTCGGTCAATCATAGCCAGGGGAGGTGTGGCTAGGGCTGCATAAACAGAAACAAAGTTATTTAACTCCTAAATGACAGTGAATTGAGCAGTGAAATTGCAGGGGAATGGTCTATAGACTAAAACTGCTTTATTTAGCTAAAGTAATTTAGGTCACTATAGTGTTCCTTTAAGTACTAAGCACTTGTGACGAGCTGAGCCTCGTCACGTGTTCTTGGAGGGGTCTGCTGGCCAGCCTCTTACCAAAAGACTATGGGCCCTTTAACCCCTTAAGGACCAAACTTCTGGAATAAAAGGAAATCATGACATGTGACATGTCATGTGTCCTTAAGGGGTTTAAAAACTAGGTGAACAGACTTGGTTCGTGGGATTTTTATATTTAGCAGGAACCAAACAGCTGCACGAACCGGAGACCACCGTGGAGCTTGTTGAGCCTAATTGCTACTTTGTAGCAATTTCCATCACAGAGTTCTAAGTGTTCGCCTGAGTGGCTGCAATTCCTATGGATGACCACGAGGTGGCAGCCATGTTATTCCTGCGAACGCAGGCAGCAGGGTTTGGGCATGAATCTCATGGAACTGAAAAATGACACAAACTCCCGAATACAGCTGGACTTCAGGCATCGCCTGTGTTCGGTTCTACCACACTTAGAAAGGCGCTGTTCGGTGGAAACGTTCCCACGAACAAGAGGGGATCAAGTTTCAGGGTAAGACTATTAACGGAGTTCGGTAGTTTGTTAGTTTTTAAACTACTGAACTAGACCGACCGCAAGCCCTGATTCTCTGTAACGGTTTTGGGCATGGGACCATGCGGGTGGTCGGTCAAATTATGACATCCAGGAAATTCCTGAACCCCTGAACTGATCTGGGTGATTTTTGGATATGTTGGTCACCCAGATCAGGGCTATCAGGGGATATAACTTTTGTGTGGGGGGGGGGAGGGAAGGGGGTGTTAATGTATTTTGGGGGTTTTGTAAAAATTTATGTTTTCTGTGCCTGGAGATAATTGAGTTTAGTACAGTGCTGACTTATCTCCCAGGCATAGGGGAGGGATTGACCTATTTTGTATGGGAGTGTCCTGGACCTGAGAGCCAATGTGATTGTGTATATGTTTTTACTGTAGTCTACTCTAAGGTCCAGGTGGGAGTGCCCCTTGCATGGGGACCTGCATATAAGGCCAGTTGTGGCTGCCATTAAACTTTCGTTTTACCCTTCATGAAGTCTAGGTTCATATTTGGGGGATTGGAGAGCTATATCCAATCTGGGGATTGCTATAATCCCTATACTCCCTTGGATCACAACACTTGCTCTTGTTAGAGAACCTGCTTCACTCTCTGGACTAGGAGAGGTCTACCCACTGGAAGCTGGATCCTGGGGGTCCAGGGTGGGTGGAGGACAGCGAGACCCCAACCAAGCTGCGGCGGTTTGTGGGGGATTACGGTGGTTATGGTGTCCAAGCTGCGGCGGTTTGTGGGGATTACGGTGGTTATGGTGTCCAAGTGCGGTGCTTATGGTGCTCGCAAGTACTAGGAAGCAGCAATTGACTGAGGTAACCGGTCGGGGTGCCAGGCGGTCAGTCACAGCACTGATCTAGATCACATTACTATTGTGATCAAATGAACTGCAGCTCTTTTTTTTTTATATAACCTCATTTCTCATTGCAAATAAATTAATTTTCTACTTATTAATTCTAATATGATAGTGTGGCCTAGGTTAGATAAGAAATTGAAAAATTAATTAGGAATTGTACACAAGGAAGCGTCAAATTAAATCCCAATTAAACCCACCAAACAAGGGCAGGTTAAAATTTACAAGTAAGCAATGGCTATACACTAAAAAAAAAGGTTTGGAATTTGAAGTCTTCTTTTAAGTTACTAAAAAATAGCAACTATCACGTGCTTGCACAAATATAAGCTTGCACACTGTAAAATGTAGAAGGAGAAAAAAAAAAAAAAAAAAGGTACAACTTTGCATTCTTGAATATTGTAAAATTAAATCGCATTGATGACAGAGCAAACTGGTAAATAAATGTTAAAACTATATTGACAGAACTGTAGATTATATTTAATAACACGCTATCAAAAGGCTGTAAAAAGTGTGCATCGAATAATGGATCCATTAACCCTTTCACTAAACTTTTTTCATGCACCTTTTACAGCATATAGACTGCTGTCAAGAGATTTTATAAAACTTTAAACTTTCAAGGTTTTGTTTTCCCCTTGAAACAAACTGGAGAAAACTTGTTCCATAGTTTACTTGTCTTCCAGTTGGGTATACTGATGGTGCCTCATGTGTAATATGTTGATCAATTTAGTAAGATACAAGGCAAATGTAAGATGTGAATTACAAATTCAAAGCTATATTAAAAAAAATTAAAAATACACTTGGAAGTTTAGAAGAGGGGATTGTATCCAAAAGTTCTGGTTATATTTACATTTGTGGTTTTCACTCGTACAAGCACACCAGTCTGAGTAATTCACTAAACTCATGAAGTGAAATCTGAATGAAAATATATAAATAAATAAATAAATTTTTTAAAAGCGCTAAAATAACCAAACGATAGTGGAGTTTGAGAAGTTCTTCAAATCAGCTATGTTTAGCTACGTTTTGAGATTCAGATTTAAATTTTGAAGTTCAGTGGATGACTGATTTCATTTCAGTGTGTATATTGTAATCCTGATGTGAGCTAATAGAGGAAAGTAAAATATAAAAGCTACTTTGCTGAATAAAGCAATAACCAATTTGAAATTTGATATTTTTTAGGGAAGTTATAGGTTTAAAAGGAGACATGAGCCAGATTCACGTGCTGACATTTTCACATGCATATGAGTGTTTCATGATAAGTGGTTCTGTAAATTAAGGTTTTATTTAAGATAAATAATGAAACAATTCCACAATGCAGACACTATGGCATGATACAGCTACTATGAGTAGATGTGGAAGAATGTCTCCTACTAGAAAATTCAAAAATAAAAATAGTATCGCCATTAAAACAAAATTATGGATTTGTGGTGCTTTTCATTCTACTGCAATACCTGTTCACATTTTAAAAAATTTACTAATTTTTTTGCATTATGCATTTATGTGCAGTTCTACATCAGGGCTCCAACAATTGATTGACTGCAAAAGATAAGGAGCTACAGTTTTAATTTGTCACATTTTAATAACTTTTAAGGATAGAAAGGATCACAAACAAATACATTTGAAAGTTGCTTACTTTTTACACATTGTGCAGAGCTTCTTTGGAGCTGGTTTATGCGAAAATGATGATAAGCAAGTGGTGGAACAGAACAAATGTGTAGAGCCTTTCCTCTGATATGCGGTCTGCCCTTTCTGGAGTGGCTTCTTGCAATTCGCACAAGTGACTTTAACCGCTTTCGGAGGTGGTGGTTGTGGTTGCTGCGATGGAGACTGAAGAACCTGCTTTGGAAGGGAGGCCACCGGTGAGGAGGAATCCACTCCTGGTTGCTTCTGGTTCCTTGGAAAAGAAGCAGATTGGGATATCCAAGAATCTAAACCAAGAAAAAAAAAAAGAAGAAATTATATGGTGGGCCACGTAGTTTACTCCAATTTAAATTAGACAACAAGGGTTGAAACATATCCATAAAATAAAATTTAGCAATAAGAAGGAATGTTTATATTCTATGACAGATGCACATTAACACACTAGTAGAAATGTCTACCCAGCAAACAATATATTCTCACAGACAGGTCTAATATGGTAATGTTAGTTTACATTCAGATAGTTATAGAAGAAATTAACAGCAAATATATAGATTAATAGATACGTTCTGCACAGAGAATGGCAGACTGTAGTAAACTTAGAAGCTGTACTTCGTCATTGCCCAAATATCAATGGCCACTCCAGAATTCCAAGCATGCAGGTGTACATTAGGATTTGTGGATGCCCCTGTATCATTTGGAGGTAAGTAGGCTGCACATGCAGCTGGTTCACACTTCCAAGTTTGTAGTCTTGACTGCTGTGACATTATCCAGTTCTAATATGCAACCATATGGAAGTTTATCCAATGGGTGCTAGTGATAAGAATGCTTTAGAAAGGTTTGTACCTTTCTAAAGCATTTCTCTCTATGGGGTGACAGTCTAAGCTGAAGTCAATCACTGCCTGCTGGCTACACCTTTCTCATACTATGACAGCAGAGAGGAAGGAAATGAGAGATCTGTGATGGAGGAACAACTTCCAGCTTAAACAGTTGAATTCCTGAAGTAAAACCGTGCCCGGACACCTGTCTCCATAACAATGTCAATAAACTTAAGTTATGACTTATGTGAGTGTTCCTTTAAAACAGGTCTTGTTATCCTTCCATCATCATGTTGTCAATTAACATTACAGTGTACTTTATCACCATATAAATGGTTCACCAATAAAGAAAAAAATATATAAAAAAAGTAAATATCCAGAACCTGCTACATCTGTAGCATTGCAAGAACAGCCATTTTGAATTTTCAAGGAATTAACAGGAACACTGGTCTTGATTTAAAAGGAACACTATAGTGTCAAATTCACAAGCATGTATTTCTGACCCTATAGTGTATAAAACCATCTATCCCCTCTGCCACCATAAATATTGTAAAATCTTACCTTTATTGCAGTCTGCGGCAGCTGGCTCTGCCTGCTTAGCTGACATCAGAAGCGTTGATCTGAGCTAATAACAATGCTTTCCCATAGGAAAGCATTAGATTGGCTGAGCTTGTCAAGTAGGCAGATCAGGGGGATAGCCATCACAAGCCAAACACAGCCATGGTCAATCAGCATTTCCTCATAGAGATGAATTGAATCAGTGAATCTCTATGAGGAAAGTTCAGTGTCTGGATGCAGAGGGTGGAGCACTGCCCCAAGAAGCACCTCTAGCAGCCATATGAGGAGTGGCCGCTGGAGGTATCCCTAGGCTATAATGTAAACCCTGCCTTTTCTCTGAAAAAACAGCGTTTACTGCAAAAAGCCTGAATGGATGGATTATACTCACCAGAACAAATACAATAAGTGGTAGTTGTTCTGGTGACTATAGTGTCCCTTTAATACTGTTGGATAAGCTTTCGAAATGATTTAATATTTTTTGTTGAATGTAAAAAAAAAAGTCAACATATTAAAATATCAAAAATAGATTTATTTGTAAGAATATCAACAAGACTAAGGAAATATTTTAATTGTAATTAATTTTAAAAGTTTTCCTTATGCATATTACAAGTCACTGAACACAGCTAAGAGCATTTCATGCAAATATAAATAGCAAACATTCTTTTTTCTCAAATGAGAAAATCAAACTTTTATTATACATTAAGCAGTAACCATTTGTCCACCAAAACATAAAATAAAAAAATAAAAACACATTTGCATGCACCAATCGTAACTATTTACACATACTGTCAATTTAGCAGATCTAGTAAATTTTTCTCCCTAGGGTAGCATGCACATCACAAAAATGGACCTTACAATAATGCAATGTTTGAAAGCAGCACAGTCACCCCCCCCACTTTGGGGGGTAGGAGGAGAAGTACTTTGACTCTGTAAATTACGTCCACCTGACACTGTGCAGAGCTACTGCCGTCTAGATGTGTCACTCCTCCCCAGCTAACACAAGTCTGACAGTGCCGCTTTAAAAAAAACTATTTTGTCAGAAAAACAAAAATGCATTCCTGACACTATAGAGTCAGGTGTCAAGGAAAAAAAAAAAAAAAAAAAATCAGGCACTCATTGCGATACGTTAAGCAACTTTAATGGATACGCAATGTTTCGACCTGTACGCTAGGTACAGTTCGAAACGTTGAGATATCCATTAAAGCTGCTTAACGTATCACAGTAAGTGCCTGATTTTTTCCATGATACATGTTCTATGGGGTATGCTGACATATACTCCGCTAGCACCCTGTGATTTTTATGATTGAGTGCAACCCTCTTTTATTATAGTGTCAGGTGACTATTTAGGTTACTGGTCCTCTCCATTCTCAATCTGGATGATCTCAGCCAATCCAATGCTTAGGATGGCATTGGGAGACTATTGCGCATGTGCAGCAAATCGCCACGCTGCGCCAATTAGCATCTCCTCATAGAGATGCATTAATCAATGCATCGCTATAGGGAACATTCAGTGTCTGATCATCAGTGCTTCAAACGTGCAGCACTGAACTAGAAAGCACCTCCAGTCACTGTCTGAGTGACTGCCACAAGAGGTGTCCCTAGTTTGCAATGTAAACAGTGCTAACACTGCAGAGACATGCTATAGTCACCAAAACCACTACATTAGGCTGTAGTGGTTCTGGTGACTAGAATCCCTTTGTCTTTGAGGGTTTGGATATATATGCCTGCATTTGTATTTATAATTAAATATGCACAACGATACTTACCAGGATTAGGATGAGTTGCAGATTCTCCATTTTGAAAAACATCTCCGCTAACAATTCTTCCTGGGTTGTATGGACCCATCGCAGGTTTAGTCTGTGATGCAAGGGTAGGGGGATATGTTTGCACATGAACACCAAAATTATTGGAATGCAATCCATTCTGGACCTCTCCTAATCCTGGATTCTGCAAAGAGGTTACATGGGTAATCATTAAATTCATATCACGCCCCTCAGTATTTTGAAGGTGGCTATCATTCACAGAATTTATGCCAGATTCTAGAGTGGTGACATTTGCAATTTGTATTTCAGAGTCTGGCTCAGTAGTAATGCCAGTACTAATAATCCCAGAATTTGCTTTGCTCCTTGAGAAGCTGGAGGAGGAGGGAAAATCCACACTGATAGGTCTATTGGTGTCTAGAAGTCTGTCACCAAAGCTGGAAGCATTTTTTTCTTGCACATGGCATGGTTCAGGATCTTCCTCGTCATCTATGATGATTGTCTCACTTATTGTTCCTTTAAGAGAATCCAACTCCTTGCTGGAAGAATGTAATTTGGGGTCTGCCCTCTGTTCTTTCCTTGGTTTAGGAAATCCTACCCTTCTCTGATCAGTATGTGGTGTACTTTGAGTAACCTGTACAGGCTCAACAAAAACCACATCATCGTCGTCATCATCAATAGGAGTGCTTTGAAAGGCAGAGGAGGTTTGCCCTCCAAAAGCATTCCCTACATTTGTCAATCCAGTAGCCATGGTTTTATGCCGAAATTGTGAATTTGTATGTATATGATCCAATCTTCCTACAGTCCCAATATCCATTCCAGGGTACCTAATTTGAGAGGGGAAAAGAAAAAACAAATTAGAAAAGCAGAAGTACTTCTGTGGACTATTTAAAGTTTACATTGCATTGTAACCAAATCTCATTTAACATATCTTAGTCTTTGATTTGGGATTTACAGTTTTCTTTTAGCGTTTCAGATCTCTATGCACAAGTACAAATGAAAGTAAGTTTTTGCACACACACCCTGTAACACAAAATAAATATTCATTGGTATACACTACTACAGTATAAATAACAAGCAGAATACGGCAACAAACATACCTCAATTAAAAAAATAAATAAAAGACCAGCATGCTACAGGACATCAGAATCCTATTTTGGCACAGTGCTGCTAAAAGGTTGCCTACCCCTGTTCTAGATTGTGCTTATTTCCCTGAGGGAGTAGCTTATATACACATAGACACAGTAAAGGAAATCCAGGTCTTTAGATGACTTGGAAGGGTGAGGGGGCACTATAGGGAGATCTAGTGCCAGGAAAATAACAGTTTTCCTGGCACTGTGGCTTCCCTTCAAGGCTCTGGTCTGCAGCCATTAGACGTCCACCTTAAGCACCCACTGGGCCATTATGCATGTAAAACAGCTGCTAATTTTATGTACTACTATATGGTATATGTATACACCCGCTAAACTACATATTAAAAATTTAAGGGACCTTGTAGGCAACCCAGACCACTTCATCTCATTGAAGTGGTCTGGGTGCAGTGTACCTGTTCCCTTAACCCTGCAATATAAAGCATTGCAGGGTTAAGATAGCCACTATAGGGGCTTCCTCCAGTTTCATGTAGCTAAAGTCTGTGAAACAAAGCTGGACATCCTCAATCTTTGCACAAACTTGTTCAGCGTCTTCAAAATGCCCATATGAAAGCATTGAGGTCCCCCGCACTGGCCAACATCGGTGGAAGGAAACCTGTCCCAGTGCGGAGATACATACGCACTGGAATCAGATAAGTATTTTTTAATTTTTTCCTTTTTATTTTAACTCTTCACATCGCAAAGGGGGAAGACCAGAATTCCTATAGAGCTAAGAATACAGTTTTGCATTGCTTGCAACACTAAGAAATCGGCCGCGCAGGCCAACTAATTGATAATGAGATTTGCTGGCAATCAAAATCTATTATATTGAATAGTTGTTGCAGCACTTGCACCAGCACCAACAATGTTAAGGCCAACCCTACCCTACTCCTGAGATCTGGTCCAACTCTGTATTTTGAATATATTAAAAAAATATATATACAGAAAAAAAAAAATCAAGTCTTACTAAGAATGCTAATCAGGTATTATTAATTCCGTAATCCTTCTACAGTTGAGTTTAAAAGTACAAGCTAAAATAACCTCAAAAATTTTCCTGGGTTAGAAAGGCTAATCTGGAGGTTTTATTGATTGTATTTTTACAATGGCACTGATCAAGGGGTGTGATATATTAGGCAGCAAGTGAACAGTCAGTTCTTGAATTTCATGTGTGGGAAGCAAAAAATGGGTAAGTGAAAAGAGCAGAGTGACTTTGACAAGAGCCAAATAGTGATGGCTAGACGACTGGGACACAGCATCTCCAAAACAGTAAGTTTAGTATATCTAAACAGCTTGCAAATCCTGCAGTTCTCTTGTCTGCTGCCTTTGCAAAGTCTCCCCCTTCTAACCCCACCCAGACTTTCTGTATGTCCAATCACAGAAATTGCAATGTATCTCAATGAGAAGTCTCTGCCAGGTAGGTGATCTGAGCAATTGCTTCTTCTTGAGTTTAGGTCCACTGAGCTAAACAACTAGGAAGTAACAGGACCGCTTGTCTACTTGAAAGCCAGACCGGTGTAACAAAACTGTCAGTTCTATTGAAATCTGCACTTTTTGCAATAGACACACATGCTTCACACAAAGCTTTTCAGCAAGCTAAAGTGCTTTAGGGGTCTGGAGGGCCCCTTTAATGCCGGCAGTGCCTTTCAGTCTGCTGCGTAGCCACAGACTGATCTGAGTGCCCATGGTGACCCCTGTTCACAACCAAAAGCACCCTCAATGGGGATGTGAACGTCAGAACTGGACCTTTCTCAGCCCACAATCCAATTGAGCATATGTGGGATGTGCTGAAAAAAACAGATCTGATCCCCACTTCGCAACTTGCAGGCCTTAAAAGATCTGCTGCTAATGTCTTGGTACCAGATACCACAGGACACATTCAGAGAAACTACCCCATGCAAAATACTGGAGAACACTAACCCCATGCACGCAGTGTCCCGTTCATACTTTGTTGTGAAATGTCTATACTTTTATTCCCCTGTTGGATGTATTTGCACTGGACAGCAAACAAGTACTCCATAAATAATAAAAAAAATTATTTTTTTCTTTTTTGGCCTTCTTTTGGATCAACAGCAAAAAAACAAATGTGAGGAAGGCTGAACTTGATGGACGCAAGTCTCTTTTCAGCTATGTAACTATGTAATTATTAATTTGTACAGCACTGTTTTACAAAACGTTTCCATACATAGCAAGTTGTCATCTGAAATGGGCTACATAAATATTGCAGGGAAACAGAAGAAATTATTGGATAAGAAAGGGGTCATGAATAGCCATTTAACAAAATATGCAGATAACCAGTAGGGTATGCCAACTCAGCCTTTCACCATGTCGAGGTTCATAACATAAGTCTTTTCCGAGAAACTACAGTGTTTACATACCAGCCTACTGATGACTTTACTGGCCACTCCTCAGATGGCTGCTAGAGCTGCTTCCTATCTCAGTCTTGCCTAGTGTGCATCACAACATATCAGTATCTCCTCCCTCTGCATGCAGACACTGAACTTTCCTCAGAGATTCATTGATTCAATTCATCTCTATGAGGAGATGCTGTTTGACCAGGGCTGTGTTTGACTTGTGCTGGCTCTGCCCCTGATCTGCCTCCTTCACAGTACCAGCCAATCCTTTGTGTAAGGATTGTGAGTGGCTCAGAACAACACTTCTGATGATGTCAGCAGACAGCTTGCTATTCTGAGAGAGACAGGGGCAGAGCCAGCAGCTTCAGGCTTGAATACAAGTTAGACTTTATTTAGGGAGGCAAGAGGGGCCAGATGGTGGTTTTAACCCCTTAAGAACAGTGGCTATGCCGTCCATTGGGACCCAGCTCTAAACGTCGGCAGGCGGCATTGTACGTCCACGCTGTCCTTCCCATTTACCTGCTCGCTGGCAATCGCGAAGGGGGGGTTACTTAGCTGACATCCCAGGGAGTCCCCCTGCGTCTGATCTGGCCCTCCTGGGCCATGTGGTCGCGAGGACCTCACGGTCAGGTCACATGGATGGAATAGCAGTTTGTGACTAAGTGGCTACTAAAAAAGACTGGCCATAACCCATTTGCAAAACCTTGGGTTGTCTACTATTGCAAATGGTATGCCCTCATGGGGTTAATTCTCTTTCATGGGCTACCATATGGTCTCAAAGGCAACATAACGAATCTGTCAAATTTCAATGTGAAAAAACTGAAAAATGTAACATGCTATATTTGACCCTGTAACTTCCCAAAACACCATAAAACCTGTACATAGGGGGTAGTGTTTTACAAATGAGACAACGCTGAATACAAATGTGTATTTTATTGCAGTAAAAGCTAACAGTATTATGCTATTCAGTTAAAATGTCATGCAGAACTAAAAAAAATTTCTTAACTTCACTTTTTTTAATATTTTATTCATATTATAAATTATGTTTCATAGGTAAATGTTTGATGTTAAATGAAAGCCCTGTTTCTCCTGAACAACATGATATAAGTGTGGGTGCACATAATATGAAAGGTGAATTATGGTTGAACAGACATTTAGTCAAATTCCAGGTTTTGTTTACTTTTTTTTATATCAAAACATGTACATTTGGCTCAGTCCTTAGGGGGTTAACACTATAGGGTAAGAATATAGTTTGTGTTCATGACCCTATAGTTCTCCTTTAAATTAATTTTGTTTACGCAGCCCTACCCACACCACCTTAGGCTGTGACTCACACAGCCTCTATGCACTAACTGAAAACTAGCCTACTTTTTTTTCAAAACTTCCCTTATTGCACGATGTGTTTAATTTAGAATTTAATATCTGTTCTGTTTATTGCCTATTGGTGTCTAAAACAGCTTTCTGTGTGTGATTCAACGTCAATTAACAGAGCAAGAGTTAAAACACTATGCTGTAAAAACAAAACCTTTTTTCATGGACACAGAGTCGCAGACAGATGAGGAGTGGCTACAAAAACAAAGTGATTTAACTTCAAAATGGCAGACAATGGAGTAGTGAGTACAGGGCCCTTATCCAAACACCAAAAGGTATTCTTTAAGCAAAAGTTATTTTGGTGCATATGGTATTATTTTAAATGCACTTTATAGGCACCCAGACCAGTTCATCCCCCTCTAGTTTTAACCCTGCAAGTGAAAATATTTTGTTTTTCTACAGGAAAGTAAATTCTTTCATTGCAGGGTTTAAATAAATCACTCAGTCAGCCACTAGGTACCATCTGATTAGCAAAGCGCAGTGGTTTGTTGCACATGCGCAAAAAAAACAGGAAAGCATTGGATTGACTGAGATCACCAAGATTAATGATCTCAGCAAAGAGGCAGGTCCAGCGTAGAGTGGGAGTTAAGGTAAATTAACTATTAACCCTTGGGGGGGGGAGGGGAGGAGAATGTGACAAGAACATGTGGTTTAGGAATGCACAATTTTATTCCTACGGCTATCGAGTTCCTTTAAATTGGGTATAATCTTCCTAACCCTAGGATGTACTTGTAGATTAGAGAAAGCAAAATGTGCCATTACTAGTTAAATAATTTCACTCTATCCATATCGGTTATGCTAGTCTTGATAGAATATAGGGGTGAAAAACCAGATGGAAGATGCTCAAGAATTTCATTAGAGAAAATTGTTTATATTGTGTTAAATAAGCTGAAAGTACAAACTTTTTGGCACTATACTATAGTGCCAAAGAGTCTGTTCTGCATAGTTTGTACTTTCAGCTTATTTCATCTTGTGGATATCTTGCTTCAGTAACATGAAGCAACAGCAGTTTATGCATTGCACACAGAGCAACATTTGGAATAATGTTTAACCCCTAGATGGCAGTACAGTACCCTATTCTTGTGCATGCGCTTGTGTCGGCAGTGAGGAAGTTGCCAAGATCAGGAGATGCAGCATTCTATCTGGTCCAGCACAGAGCATGTATCTGTATGATCCAGTTGCAGAGACAGCTCTTCTCCCTGTACGACATCTTCATTAACAGCTCAGGAGCATGCTATAGCATATCACTTAAAGATGCAGTGCGCAAACAGAAATTGTGTCTTTGCAAAGAACACAGAAACAGTCTATTCCCTTGTAGATCATGGGCATTAATTCTCTGCGCCCGGACCTATTTTCCCATATTAACTGGCATATCGCAAATCCTGAATTATCTCCTATGAAGATATACTCATTTTGTTAAATAAAGCTACGTGCAAAAATCTAGCTATAGTTAATTTCACCCTTAAGCATCAATTGCTGCTCTATGGTCACATCACAAATATGACCCTGTATACTCTACGCCAAAACAGAAGGTTTCACTTAGTTAATTTTTTGTGAAAATGTATAGAGCTGCCAAAAAGTATGAGTGTGCCAATCCAGTTTTGAATAGGCTCCTACAGGAGACATTATCACTTTGCAGGTTTTATTTTTATCCCTCTATTTCACCTTGTTTTAATTTCAGATCAGTACACTAAAATGGCTTGATTAAGCTAAAGTTGGTTTGGTCCTTGCAGTCTTAACGATATTAACAGTTTTGTTTGTTTTTTTTAGAAAAAGACAATGATTACTTGCATTCTAAGGCAACTAATAGTGGCTGTCGCTGAAACTGCTCACGGGGAGGTTTTCCTGGAGCAGACCTACAATCTTTGCAGGGTCAATGTTCAGTGTTGTCACCGTCTGCATGAAAATCGTAACGTTCCCCATAAAGATACTTTGAGCCAATGCAACTCTATAAGGAGATGCTGATGGGAGTGGTGCAGTGATTGCCCACCAGATGCTTCCATATGTGGACTGGACAAGCAGCATACTGGAGGACTACAAGTAAATCTTCATAACTTAAATGATAGGTTTGTCTCCCAAATTATACATTTGCAATCAAAACTATTAGCACAATGTATAGATGGTATTTATTGTTCCTTAAAAAGAGCAAAAGGTAGCGTGGCAGAACCAACCTCGCCACTATGCACTGGAGAAGCCTGGTTGCTCGCCTGCTCCCTTTAGACTATGGCCCTGCAGTTCATACCTGTTATTTTCCTTGCTGAAAGGTTTATTCGTGCCTTTCTGTCAGGGTGTTCGGTATATTCCATCTACCGAACAAACTACCGAACGAGGGACCACCTGGGAGCTGGAGTGTGTCGGCAATTAGCCTCCCAGAAGCTGCGGTTAACCGCAGCTTAATTGACGAGTACTGGGTGGCCGCCATTCGTATACCGAACATGAGGTCGCGGCCATTTTAAACACGCGAACGCACAGCGGTGTTCGACGCCTAACTCATGGAACTAAAAACGGACACGGTTTGGCACGAACACCGCTGAAGCCGCCAACCTCCCTTCTTGTTCAGTGGAAGTGCACAAACGGCCTTGTATTCGGTAGTCGTACCTGACTGCACTATACCCCACATAGGAATCCCATGGAGCTCATTCGTATGAGAACTGACTTTGTGAAGACTTTGGCTCCATGGCGATTAAACTGTATTCGTGTAGTCTGAGCGCCATCCGCTTAATAATGTGCGCTCAGACCTGAGCTATCTGGGGACATGTCGAATGTATATATTCATTGTAACTTGTGTCACATAGTGTATTTTAACAGTAATTCCTATTTTAGTATCCCCACGTGCATAATGGCGATTTGTCCTGGGAGATAATTGAATTACTTTCCAATTATCTCCAGGGCAGAGGGGAGGAAGCCAGGATGCATTGTGGGAATATAATGTGACTGTGTGTCCTAAATTGATACTTGTCTGTCCTTTGTTACAGTCTCCCATTTGGTCCCCTAGGGAAGTGTCCACCAGGTGGGAGACCTGCATAAAAGCCAGGCAGTTAGCCCCAGTAAACCAGATCCTGCTTGACCCTCAAAACGAAGTGTCGTCTCATCTTTGGGGGGGGATTTACTGTATGCTGTTAGAGACTGATTGCCAGGCGTGTAAGCCGCTTGGGGGCTTTTCCGGTTCGTCTGCTAGCAGCAATTCATGGGTCTCCAGTTCGGGAGTTTCGAGTATTCCCTTGGTTGCAGTTCGGGAGTTGGTGAATTTGTGGGTTTGCAGTTCGGGAGATTGGTAGCTGTCTGTGCAGCTGAGAAAAGGGAATATCGCCTAAACGGTTTTTAACTTCTTGTGTGCAAAACGGTCCATTACAGGTAGTTTCGGGCATGACAGGTTATCTTTAACGTAAAGGGGACAATAAATCAAAATAGGTTTGAAAAAATTAGCTTTAGGAGCATGTGTTTGCATTTCTAACATTTGAGTGCTCCTTTACTAGAATAAAGTTGTTTTTGTGTTAGGAGGTCCTTGACACCTAATTCCTTTTAGGGGTTATACATTAACGAGTTGTTTAACCCCTAAAAGAAAAACCTGCGCCAGGAAACACCGAGCACCATAACTATATTCTGATAAAGCCGTTATGGTGTCTGGATGGTTTCTTTCAGCTTCCCCGTTTGCCAAAAGTTTAAATTTAGAAGTTCTTATCTCTTGCAATGTTAAATGCTTGCTAGAGCCTACAGCCTTAAAGGAGTGCTACATGCATCAAAACAACTTTAGCTTAATAAAGCAGTTGTGTATAGATTATGTTTCCCTGCTCAATTCTCTGCCATTTAGGAGTTAAGTCACTTGTTTTGCAGCCCTAGCCACACCTTCACTGGCTGTGACTGACAGCCTGCATTAAAAAAAAAAAAAAAAAAAAGTTCATTTTCAAATATTAAACTCTAGAAGACTTAACAGAGCAGGCGATAAGAAATTCTAGATTAAACAGACTGTGCAGTAAAGGAACCTAGAACACCTAGGTTCCTTTTCTGGAAAAGTTTAGGACTTCTGTGCAAGTCACATGCAGGGAGGTGTGACTAGGGCTATATAAACAAAGTGATTTAACTCCTGCAATGACACTGCAGGAGCATGACCTATTCACCATTGAGTATCCTTTTTAAACCATATAACAAAGACCAGAAATAATGCATCAAAGACTGATTTCTACAACTGTGTGTCTTTGGCCCTGCTAGAAAAAAAATAAATTGAAATGAATTTGTCATCATAAAATAGATTGACTTTGCCATTTTGAGTGAGATAACAAAACCATGTGCTTATTCCACTGTGAAAATGATTGATATTAAATGTATAAGATACATGTAGGCAAGTATTAAGATTTAATGAGTATATATCACATACAAGGAATCAAAAGATGTTACACTTCTTGTACTTTGTTTTGTATTATATATATATATATATATATATATATATATATATATATATTTTACATAAATAAGGTGGACTCTCCGATGTTAATGTACCAAAGCAAAATAAATGCAAAGAGCTAAATGGTGAGACTGTCTATGGTTTTCTACATTAATTGTTCCTAATTATTTTTACGGATAAAGCAATTCTGTTGCCTTGATAAATTCCCCCAATATGTGGAACAGACCATTTTAGCCTGATAGTTATGCAGATGCCATTGAGAATATACATAGAGTTAACCATTACCAGGCCAACCATCATGAGTCAGAGTTTGAATGCAAAGATATTATAAATGTAAGTTTTGCAGCACAACGGCTGATAGCCATGTAATAGTCTTACTATTACTAATTACAATATAAGCTAAACATTCCACAATAAGACTTAACAGTTACACATATAAAACTGGCAAAGACACCATCCAATAGATGAATTGCCAAAAAAACATTTTTAAATAACATAATTAAGCTCTCAAATACCCTACTGCACAAGATGTTTATTAAATTCTCTTTTTTTTTTTTTTAAAACAACAAGTGCCACAAACATTTGCCCAGGGTAATAAAGCTGGTCTTCTAAGCTGTCACAAATGCTGCAAAGGACAATCCCATGTGCTCCTATACACTGCGTGTGGGGTACAGACCGCAAGAGAAATCCCAATGGCCAAAGATTGTATTGCAGGGAAATACAAACCTCTGAGCCCTCCCACTATCAACCTCACAGCCATGACTGCCTTTCTATAGCCAGCCTCCCACAACCAGTGCTTCCTCCCTACATACTATAAAAAAATAACACAAGGTACCCATGAGAAATAGTTACATAAACAGAGAGGTTCAACTATGTCAACGTTACTATGCCATAAATAATTCTAGCCTCCCATAAAATGCAGGAAAACAAAATAACATTCATCCATATTGCTGTATTAACCACAAAACGTTCAGATACATTTTCCAAACAATGCACACAGGACTTTGCAGTCTACATGTGGACACACAGACCCCCTCTTTGTAAATACAGATATTTACTCACAGCAGAGCCTTGTCGGGGCTGCAGGCCGGCCGACATTAAAATCGGGCCATGGAGCAGAAAGACCAATACAAATTAGTAGTGCCATAGACTAGAGGTGGCTAACGTTTGGCATGAGAGCAGCTGTGAACTACATTTCCCATGATTCGCAAACAGGCGGGTTGACGCAGACCAGGTCGACAATAGGGTAGCTGGGAAATATAACCCAGAACACGTTTAGATAAGGCGAACGTAGTCCACAACATTTGTGACTGGCTGGGCCTACTGGAAGGCGTTAAGCAGGCCTTTGTTGGCTGACTGAGCATGATAGGAATAATGGTTTACAACCTTATGGCTGGCTGAGCATGATGGGAAACCAGGGTTCACAGCCTTTTGGCTGGCTAAGCATGATGGGAACAGGATTTAAGGCTGGATTAACAAAATGAAAAGGCTGAGCGTGATGGGATCAGTTAAGGCTGGATAAACCAGATTAGATGGCTGGCTGAGGGTGATGGGATCAGTTAAGGCTGGATAAACCAGATAGATGGCTGGCTGAGGGTGATGGGATCAGTTAAGGCTGGATAAACCAGATAGATGGCTGGCTGAGGGTGATGGGATCAGTTAAGGCTGGATAAACCAGATAGATGGCTGGCTGAGGGTGATGGGATCAGTTATTTAAGGCTGGATAAACCAGATAGATGGCTGGCTGAGGGTGATGGGATCAGTTATTTAAGGCTGGATAAACCAGATAGATGGCTGGCTGAGGGTGATGGGATCAGTTATTTAAGGCTGGATAAAGCAGATAGATGGCTGAGCGTGATGGGATCCGTTTTAATAGGCTGATAAACAAAAATGGCGACTGGCTGAGCGTGATGGGAACTGTCAGTTGACTCCATTAAGCAGGCTGAGGGTGATGGCAGTCACGGTCCGGGGAGGTGGAGTGCAGGGCTCGGCAGTGGCTGCCTGGGCCCCGAGCCAGACTGTCTCCCCTCCCCCATCCTGGGAGCCCGAGGGGCGGGGCCTGGGGTAAGAGGGCCTCGGGCGGGGGTAAGGGGCAGCTTTGTGAGCCCGCTGGCGGCTGCTGTGAGCTGATTTACCTCCATTACCCTAGCTGCCCCCGAGGAGGGTATTACCCCGCCCAGGCGGCCGTTATTTGCCCCGCCATTCGAGAGAGAGTGTCAGCAAACAATGCGGTGACTGAGCCCGGCTCCCCTACCCCGGCCGGGGCAGCCCTCACACAGCCCGGGAATGCCCCCTCGATAACCCGCCCGGGGAGTTACCCAGCACGCCGTGACTGAGGGGCAGCTCGGGGTATTTATGAAATGCCCCCACTAGGGGGCAGGGGTTAGCCGGGGGGTAACCGCTCGGACTCCCTCACACAGCCGGGGGGGAGGGGGGGCACTGACCTGCGGGTGGGTAACAGCGAACGGACGGAGCCGCCCGATCCTCACAGCGCTCTGTCCCCCAGCAGCCTCGCTCGCCCGTCCGGTCCCGGAGCTAAGGGGGAGGGGCCAGCCTGCTCTGGCAAAGCTGGAGAAGGCGAGGGAGGGGCGCGAAGCAGCCCCGCCCCCCAGCGCCCTGTGATTGGCTGCGCCCGATCGGCGAGTTGCTACAGAACCCGCGCGCTGATTGGCCAGCGGTGCTGTCGCTCTCACTGGGGAGCTATTTTCCCGCCTCCCCCTTCCAGGTCCGTGTTAAAGCGCAGCACTGACAGTGTGTCGCGGGAGGCCCCGCCCATGCGTTGCAGTCAATGGGAGAAGGAGGGGGGGAGAGGTGGAAGCTGCCTGTGTTAGCATGGCGCTGTACTGCCAAGGCAGCAGTCTCCACCCATTGCTGCTTGTAGCTCGGCAGGAGGAGGGCGGGAGCGGTGTGTGAGGAGGAATGCTAGCTCGCAGCGCTGTGTGCCTGTGGGAAGGCTAAACATGGCGCGATAATCCGCCTGCCCTCTGTTATACACACAATCACCACACAGACTACAACTCCCAGTGTGAGCCCAGCCCTCAGGCAGACACAACATGGCTGGGGGTGGCAGTCCTATCCTAGCACAATCCCCCTCACCGCCCCCGGAGCCATTATTATTATTATTATCACCCCCTCACCCCACATGATGTCATGCTCCCAGATTAGTACATAGCCCGGGAGCGAGATAACCCGCCCGAGGCCACTGCGGACCTTTCACACGGCTGGCTGTGCGTCATAGGGAGCGTACCGGGCTGGAGATAGGGCTCCATCGATGGACCGCCTGCCGGGTGGCAGAGCATCATGGGAGTTGCAGCGCCCAGTCTGTGATTATACGCATTGGCTGCGATTACGCGGCTATGTACGACGATGGCGATAGCTGAGGACGCCTGGCGGGTTTCCCCTCCCCCACTGGTCACGCATCGCATGTACTCACAGCTCCCGCCGCCATCCGTGGGAGGCAGTGTGGAGGCTCCCTGTCCTCACTAACATGGCACTCACATGGGGATAACATTAACAAATAGAGATATCTAACGCAATTCACGAGGTAAACTCGTGCTGTTTCGATGTTCCCAGCTCGCCCTGAGCACTGACCCCCCTCAGAGCAGCCTGTCAGGGATGGACTCCCCCTCCCCCCACACACCCAACAAGTGTCGGCCACCATTTTGTTTGCAGACACCACATTCATATCTGTGGCAGTGGAGCTTCATTGTCTTTTGTTTTTTTATTATTGTACCCAGGAGGGTGACTCCCACACAGTTATTTGGTTACTGAGCCTCGTTATTGATGTGAGGGAGTGAGAACAAGGTCTGGGGCAGTGACGGCCAGACCCAGCTCCGTCACTCAGGAGCCAAGATGGCGGCTGCGCGGGCTGCACGTCCTGGCTCCAGCACTGGGTGGTGTCCTCAGGGTGCTCCAGTCCTGGGTGGTGCCCTCAGGGTGCTCCCTCACTGGGTGATGCCCTCAGGGTGCTTCAGTCCTGGGTGGTGCCCTCAGGGTGCTCCAGCACTGGGTGGTGCCTCAGGGTGCTCCAGTCCTGGGTGGTGCCCTCAGGGTGCTCCCTCACTGGGTGTTGCCCTCAGGGTGCTCCCTCACTGGGTGGTGCCCTCAGGGTGCTCCAGTCCTGGGTGGTGCCCTCAGGGTGCTCCCTCACTGGGTGGTGCCCTCAGGGTGCTTCAGTCCTGGGTGGTGCCCTCAGGGTGCTCCCTCACTGGGTGGTGCCCTCAGGGTGCTCCAGCACTGGGTGGTGTCCTCAGGGTGCTCCAGTCCTGGGTGGTGCCCTCAGGGTGCTCCCTCACTGGGTGATGCCCTCAGGGTGCTTCAGTCCTGGGTGGTGCCCTCAGGGTGCTCCAGCACTGGGTGGTGTCCTCAGGGTGCTCCAGTCCTGGGTGGTGCCCTCAGGGTGCTCCCTCACTGGGTGGTGCCCTCAGGGTGCTTCAGTCCTGGGTGGTGCCCTCAGGGTGCTCCAGTCCTGGGTGGTGCCCTCAGGGTGCTCCCTCACTGGGTGTTGCCCTCAGGGTGCTCCCTCACTGGGTGGTGCCCTCAGGGTGCTCCCTCACTGGGTGATGCCCTCAGGGTGCTCCAGCCCTGGGTGGTGCCCTCAGGGTGCACTGTGTCTGCTGCTCCCATAATCTTCAGGGATTATGAAAAGCACTTTCCCACTCTTCTAGTCATATCCACTGTGGTTTGAGTTTCTTTTAATCCCATTGCTGGTGTTATATATCCAGACAGAGTTACTAGTTGTTAATCATAACAGACTGCTCTATCATAAAATGGGATTAAGGCTGCCAAATTTACTATTGCTTCATACCTCCCAACAATTCAAATGGGCAAAGAGTGACACTTTAGTTTTAGGGGGTTGGGTCCAGCGGTAAGGAGCGAGAAATTTGAGGTAACTTACTACTAACAGTTTGTGCAACTAAAATGTGAATTAGAACAAGAATAATGTAATAATGAATAACTCATTTTTAAACTCAGAAAAAATTGCCCCAAAAAGTGGTATAGCGGTGTTTTATAAAGTGATGGTTGATAAGGTATTTAATGAAGATAGCCGCTGTGGCACTCTGTGGATACGCTTTAAATCACACCATCAATAATATTAATAAAACGGCATTTACTTAGTGTTTTTAGATGATGAAACTCACCACACAAAACAAAGTGGGAGCACAGCTCTAGATATAATTTACCCCTATGCATGTTGGGGAAGTCAAATTATATGCAAGAAAAAATAATAGTGCAATCAGGTATATTATCCAATATATAGTGAGTATAGTTCCACTGACATTTAAAAGAGCCCCTTTTTTTACAATTAGGCTCTAAACGTGGAAGCTTCTGTGCCTTTTTGGCACAACACTACTGCTTCTGGAGTTAAAACAAATATCTTCCAATAATGGTTTCATCTCCAAAAGAGGGTTGTTCCCGCCAAAAATATTTATATATGAAACATAAATTTGAGTTAAAATACAAAAAAGATTGACATTTTATTTTCCCAGTTCTGCATGGCATTTTAACTGTGAACGTCATAATACTGTTAGTCTTTACTATTATTGCCATTTATATAGCGCCAACAGATTCTGTAGCGCTTTAAAATATCATAAGAGGGGGAGATTTAACAATAAGTAGGACAATTACAAGAAAACTCACAGAAACAATAGGTTGAAAAGGACCCTGCTCAAACGAGCTTACAGTCTATAGGAGGTATTCAAAATGGGGTATGTCCAGTCTTTTTTTACTAGCCACTTAGTCACAAACCCTAGCCAAAGTTAGCCTTTATATTAGTTTTTTTTTATTTTTCAAACACAAACGGCACATTCATTGATGATATCATCAGCATTAAACATTTTACTCCTACATACACATAATATCCATTACTGCTAGAGTCTATCCTGCACCTTGCTTGTCTCCCGGGGGGACACAACGTACACCATACACGTCCTCCAAGAGGCCGCAACCACTTCCTCCTGATTTGCCTGGCCTACCCGCCCAGGCTGCAGGCCCCACGCGCTGGGATTCAGTGAACGCTACAGAATTCGTGCCTAGAACGACTACCTCGGACTCGTATGCTACGGTCACGACCTGAACCCCTGCTGGACTAAGCTGAAAGATTGACTAGAGAACCTCACCGACTCCGCACCGGTGACAATAGATGCTATCAAAGAGCTTATGGCGGACCTCCACAAAGAAATCTCAGCTGATGTGGCCATGATACGTAGGGACCTACGGAGCCTAAGTGGCCGACTCAGTGTAGTGGAAGGCACATCCCGCAATCACACACAACAGATCAGAGGTACAACAAGAGGTCAAGGAGCTGCAGCAGCAGAATCTCACCTATGAACACAGATTTGCCACATTGGTGGATAGACAACTCAGAAGAACCTAAAAATGAGGGGGATCTTCACCAGACGCCTCCTCGTGCCCTTTGCTGACTCTAAAATTGGCCAGGGCGGTCAAGCTGGAGGGAATATTCCGCTTTACAAGACCAGCCAAGGCACCACTTATAGCTCATGGAGACCTGGTGATACCGTTCCAAAGCCATAAGGATAAAGCAGCAGTCCTGGCTGCCACCAGAGGACAATCATCTTATCTCTTTAAGGAGATGTCATTGGCCTCTTATGCAGATCTCACCAGGGGAACTCTGGCATGGAGACAGACTCTTTGTGCATACACTTTCTGCCTGGGTGCATACAATTTCATTCTAAGTGTATTTTAATATATATATATATATATATATATATATATATTTATGTGTTCTTTAACTGTATTTTGATGGATATATATATATATATATATATATATATATATATACACAATTTTTATTATATATATGTATATTAAATTTATTTAATTCTAAGTGTATTTTGATATTTATATATTTTCTTTTTTAATTTTTGTACAAAAGCTCATTTTCATTATTCTCATCCATTCCTATAGTCTGTATAAATTCTCCAAAGAAATATGAATACAATTAAAAATAAACTGAGCATAACCAAAGAGGTACCAAACAAGGTTCACAAAACGAATAAAAAAGCACGGAAAAGTAGAAGAAAAATGTAAAAATAAGCCACAAGATATAAAAAAAAAACAGGCTTGGAGGCAGAACAAAGTTATCATGCTGAAGACACTCCTGCTTTCTTCTGAGATCACGGTACAGTCGTCCACTTGGAGTCCATCCAAGTAGATAGTTCTGGACTAGAGGAGCCGGGACCAATGTAATGTAATGAGCCCGGCGGTCCTGGTCTGTATTATGGCAATGTAAGTTGCCATAATACAGACATTGACTCGAGTATAAGACGAGTGGGGATTTTTCAGCTCAAAAAATGTGCTGAAAAACTTGTCTTATACTCGAGTATATACAGTGTATATATAGATATAGATATATATATATATATACTATGTAGCACTAAGTCCACCTCCAGTGGCTGTCTACCAGACAGTCACTGGAGACACTTTCTGGCTGCTAACAGACTTTTGGTCCACTGACGCTGGATGTCCTCACATTCCACATGACTTTGAGAATCACCTATGGGGAGGCCTAATGCCCGCGCGGCATTTGCATTAGCACCCGCTCGTCGTGGGACGTCAGAGGAGGCGGAATCGCAACCCTGTGCCAAGGGAGATCGGTGCAGGGATAAGGTAAGTAAAGAGAGGGGGGAGGCAGAGGGAGCTATAAAGCCAGAATAACATCTTTGAGAGTATCCCTTTCATTAAATTACAGCCAGTACAATGTTTACAAGGAATGGTGGGGATAGACAATGAGAAGGACTGTGGGACATATGGGAGACTTAAGGGTGTGGCAGAACAGCCAGTTTAACAAGTCTGAAAGCACTGGGACTACACAATGGGACTACGCCCTGCTGGAAAAACAAGGCAGGGATAGGGGAGGAAGGAAACACTCAAAATGCACGCAATACATTTAACTCAGGTCCAACCATACCATACAAAGAGTCCCAACTATTGTAAACTGGATGATTAGCCATAGTAAATGCTGAGTCCAGTTTCATCAGCAAAGGGTCCATGGTCTCTAGGTAGGAGTCCGGCCTCCAAGCCCCTCCGTGAGCCAAACTAACTAAGGCTTCCATTACAGCCAGTGACACAAGTGGCATCACTGGCAATTTCCTTAAGGCTCACCCACCTTCTGTCCCTACATCATAATTCAAATTTACCTACCCCTTCACCCCCTGCCACAGGACCGACAATAGATCTGTCACTTTTAGGGGTCTATGCGAAATATGCAACGACCCCAGAAGTAATGATCCACTTTAACTGTACTGCTAGTCCCTCTGGCCCACTCCGTGTCTGGATAATTAAAATCTCCAGTGTTTAAGCTTGTCCTTGCGTTAAGGACCCTTGACGGAAAATTTCTGTCATTTACTAAAGTTAACCCCAGATCGCGGGGTTAACGCTCACCCGGTCTGCCTTGGTGTTCGAGACAGACCGGGAGCACCCAAACGCGCTGTCCCTGCAGCAGTGATCGCTCTGACACGC